GCTCAACTCTGAAATAGTCTGTAGTCATTGTGCTTCTCCTCACATGCTCAACTGTGAAACTGTCTGTAGTCATTGTGCTTCTTCTCACATGCTCGACTCTGAAATAGTCTGTAGTCATTGTGCTTCTCCTCACATGCTCAACTCTGAAATAGTCTGTAGTCATTGTGCTTCTCCTCACATGCTCAACTCTGAAATAGTCTGTAGTCATTTTACTATTTTTTTTAATCCCCTTCACTGATTTTCCCATTCCAACACATCATGGTCGAGGAATCCACCTCAATAACTGTATCATTTGTGTCCTGCTTGCACACTTCATTGCAGATATGTATATTTGTATAGCAAACACAGAAACTGGAGGGTTAAGTCAATCAATCAATCAGCTGGGTGCCATCTACACTTTCTGTCACTGGCTTGTACCCTCTCTCAGATCTCTTGATGTTATCCTCCCACTTGTATCAGTGTTTACTTCTTGCCCACTTCCTTTCAAATTTTCACACTAGCATGCTTGTTGTAAACATGCAATACCCTGTAATGTTGTCAAAATATTTCATCTGCCTCTTCTTTCTTTCTTTTAGCAACATGTTTTTTCATTCCCAGTCTTTTCTGACCCTTTGTATTTTATTGTTTTGTTTGTTTGTTTGTTTGTTTCCATGAAATAGCACCTAATGAGATGTATCACTTATATCCCAAAGCTGTCTACTCTTTCATACACCCTAGTGTTATAAATGTTAGTCTTCTCCTTCATTTAAACATTTTGTTTTAAAAACTGAATAAACTTATAGATGTTGATCAGGGTTATTTAACTGGCAGCTCATGAGCCAGATACAGCCCACAGAGGACTTGCAAGTAAGCCACGGATCACCTGCCAGTTGTATTGTAATAATAATGTTTCTACGCTGGAGTTCAGGCCACTGGCCCACAATGATCCATATTTTTAACATTCTGGCCCAGGAGTAAATGAGGTTGAATGACCTTTAAGTAGACAGTGTGTTGTATTTAGAAGTCATGATTGTATCTGTTCACTGGCAGGTAGTGTGTTGTATTTAGAAGTCATGATTGTATCTGTTCACTGGCAGGTAGTGTGTTGTATTTAGAAGTCATGATTTATCTGTTCACTGACAGGTGGTGTGTTGTATTTAGAAGTCATGATTGTATCTGTTCACTGGCAGGTAGTGTGTTGTATTGAGAAGTCATGATTGTATCTGTTCACTGGCAGGTGGTGTGTTGTATTTAGAAGTCATTTTTGTATCTGTTCACTGGCAGGTACCCTCAATCCGTGCTACAATAATGCCTTTGGCTGTGCAGAGATCTGCATGGTGGACGAGAGAGGGGATGCTTTCTGTCGATGTACTGAGGGCAAGAAGTTGATTGCGGGAAAGAGATGTGTTTGTAAGTTTCTCAAGAGCATGTCTGTGCTGTTTGTTTGATTGTGCACTTGTCTTTCTGAATGCTTACGTATGTTTGTCTCTGTGGTTATAGACATGTTTGTCTGTATAGTTACATGTTTGTAAGATTGTTCACATGTCTATTTATATTTGCCATATGTGTTTGTATGATTGTACACATGTTTGTCTAAATAGCCACATATGTTTGTATGAGTGTACATATGTTTGTACATGTAGCAGCACTGGATCTCGGGGATGCTTAAAACAGAGTAAGATATGACATTCTGATAACCAAACTGAAAGAGAAGGAGTTCAGTGAATTGGGTTGCAGCTGTCCTGTATTTGTGTCAGGGAGCTCTCCATCTGGGCTCATAGACCTCGGAACCACGCAATATAGCCCTAGGACTGCCACAGGGATCTGCAATCTCACCTGTGCTCTTTAACGTATATATGAGCAAGATTGCAAATCTAGAAGCACTAAGATTTGGAAGGATACTGACTTTTGCAGATGATATACTTGCATATCGGCAGGGGGAAGAGAGGGAACAAACAGCCCGGGAGCTACAAGGGACAGTAGACAAATCACAAAGTAGACAAAGTAACTGAGTTGTGTACAAAAATGAGGGCTCTTGTCCACCCAGAAAGGAATCTTTTTCCATGGTGTTCTGCAGACAATAGAATTGTTAGAGCTGAGGTCCCAGGTCTCACCATAGATGCTAGAAATTTTATCAGAGGAGCAAACTGTAGTATTTGGGAATCACATTTGACAGGAGCCTGTCCTTTAAGGACCATGTGAAGATGGTTGTGACAAGATGCCAAAAAGGACTCAGTGCACACTCGACTATGGTTGCAATTGACATAGAGCAGAGTATGCTTTTCACATAACAGCACCTGATCCTTTCAGTGATTGATTATGGACTAGGACTGCTTACTGTCTCAAAGAGTCTGATAGATCAACTAGAGCGCATACAGAACACATCTATACAGGTCATTCTGAGTTGTACCAGAGACACACCAGTGGTGTTTTTGCGGTACATCCTTGGTTTGCCGACTGTTGCAGGTAGGCACAAGGTGCTGCAGGCAAAGTCAGAGTAGCTGCAGATACAAATCACCCTTTGCACTAAGCTCTGGACACAGTTAAGGGTCGGTGGCTGATAAGAGGGCAGTCATGGATAGCTCAGGTACAAGATATAAACAGTATGGAAGATTGGTTGGCTAATGAGGAGGGGGATGTGTGGGTATGTCTCGAGTGCAGTGACGTCAGTTTCTGGTTCATTCATTCATTCATTCATTCATTCATTCATTCATTCATTCATTCATTCATTCATTCATTCATTCATTCATTCATTCATTCACTCATTTATTCATTTATTCATTCACTGTCCATTCATTCATTCACTGTCCATACATTCATTCACTGTCCATACATTCATTCACTGTCCATACATTCATTCACTGTCCATACATTCATTCACTGTCCATACATTCATTCACTGTCCATACATTCATTCACTGTCCATACATTCATTCACTGTCCATACATTCATTCACTGTCCAGTCATTCGTTTCATTCATTCACCCAGCTGCATTTGTGATTATTGCCAGTCACTTGCCGTGTTCATCATAATAAAGCCAGTTATTGTTGCATCCATGTGTGTGATGTTGCCGATATTCTGCCACAGCTCAATCTATTGAAAAATGTGGGGAGGAAGATTTCATCTGTGAGGACCAAAAGTTGTGTATTCCATTTGACAAAACTTGCAATAACATCTCTGACTGTTCAGATGCCAGTGACGAGTCTACAGAGTACTGCAGTAAGTTGTCTACATCTTTATCCAATCTTGTAGCGATTTGTGTACATCTTTGTCCAGTCTTGTAGTGATTTGTGTACATCTTTGTCCAGTCTTGTAGTGATTTGTATATATCTTTGTCCAGTCTTGTAGCAATTTGTGTACATCTTTATCCAATCTTGTTGTGATTTGTGTACATCTTTGTCCAGTCTTGTAGTAATTTGTATATATCTTTGTCCAGTCTTGTAGCAATTTGTGTACATCTTTATCTAATCTTGTAGTGATTTGTGTACATCTTTATCCAATCTTGCAGCAATTTGTGTACATCTTTATCCAATCTTGTAGTGATTTGTGTACATCTTTGTTCAGTCTTGTAGTGATTTGTGTACATCTTTGTCCAGTCTTGTAGTGATTTGTATATATCTTTGTCCAGTCTTGTAGCAATTTGTGTACATCTTTATCCAATCTTGTAGTGATGTGTGTACATCTTTGTCCAGTCTTGTAGTGATTTGTGTACATCTTTGTCCAGTCTTGTAGTGATTTGTATATATCTTTGTCCAGTCTTGTAGTGATTTTTGTACATCTTTATCCAATCTTGTAGTGATTTGTGTACATCTGTGTCCAATCTTGTAGTGATTTGTGTATATCTTTGTCTAATCTTGTAGTGATTTGTGTACATTTTTGTCCAATCAGGTAGTGATTTGTGCACATTTGTGGGATTCATGTCCAGTCTTGTACTAAGTTGTGTATATCTATGTGGTTTGTGTTGTTGTATAGTGGGCTTTGTCCATGTGTATGATGTGTCCAATTTTTTTGTGTAATATCTATGTACCTATTCTATAGATTAGTTGTGTGCATTTATGTGATTCAAGTCCAGTCTTATAATGAGTTGTGTGTGTCTGTAGGATCATCATCATCATGTGGTACCTGGTGTGGGCGATCATGCCTCTCCATAATCCATGATCTCCTGCAGCATGTATCAGTTCGTGTGCTGACACACCTCCATGCCATGCAACAAGACTGTCAAGAATCTTCTCTCATTGTCTTCCTCTATCCCTCCTTCCACAGATCTTTCCAGTGGTCACAACATGTTCCATTTTACCTCTTCTCATAACATGGCTGAAAAATGATGACTGTCTCCTTCTGATGTCTGTGTTAAGTTGTCTTCGGGCTCTCACATCTTTCAAAACCTCCTGGTTGCTCTTTTTGGCTGTCCAGTGTATTTTAAGCATTTTTCTGTAAAACCACATCTCAGAGACCTCATGAGTCTATGGGATACGTGTCATTTTGTAGTGGGCTTTGTCCATATATTTTATACGTGAAGTATATCTATCATTTGTTGCACAAATAATTGTGCACATATATGTGATACATATCTGGCCTTGTAATGAGTTGTATGCATCTGTTAACCATCTTGTCAGATGAACCACACACACACACACACACACACACACAAAAGAGAGACGGAATAGGGGAAAGCAGTCTGTTTTAGATACCTGCTCAACTAATTGAATCAAATTTTGGCTTCTTTCTGTTTTAGACGTCTGCTTAGCTAATTCAACCAGATTTTGGCTTCTTTCTGTTTTAGACATCTCGATCAGACAAGTCCTATCTCCACAGTGAAGGCTACAATTAATTCCCATTATGCTCTGTCATTCACTCTGATAGCACACTCTCTCATACTGCTGTTCATCCATCTCTTGATTTTATCTTCCCACTTGTATACTGTCTGCCTCTTGCTCTCTTGCCTTCATCTCTTACCTTTGTATTTGATTCAGTTGTCAGCTGTTAATCTTCTCCTCATATCAACTACTTTTATCTGCAGACACCAGAATTTGTCCGGTCGGTTGGTACCAGTGCCAAGGCCACAGGAAGTGCATCCCGCAGAAGAATGTCTGTGATGGGTGGAATGACTGTGTTGGAGGTTCGGATGAGCTCAACTGTCCCTGCGCCAGCAATGAGTTCCGCTGCACCAATGGCATGTGTATACTGGATAAATACAAGTGTGACTATGACAGTGACTGTCCTGACCACTCGGACGAGATTGGCTGCAGTAAGTAGTTATTGCTTATATCGACTACTGTAAGTAATTATTGCCTATATTGACTGCAGTAAGTAGTTATTGCTCATATTGACTGCAGTAAGTAGTTATTGCTCATATTGGCTGCAGTAAGTAGTTATTTCTCATATTGACACCAGTAAGTAATTATTGCTTATATATAGCGTGGGTTCTGATATTGATTGCTGTCCACAGACAAAACCTGCGATGATCTGGAGATTTCTGGGGTTAAGCACCATGGCCTGGTGCCCTGCAACACAACGTCCATGTGTATCTACCCTAACTGGATCTGTGACGGCAGCAATGACTGCTGGGACAACAATGATGAAGCAAATTGCCACAATGTTGGTGAGTCTGTCACAGTGTTGGTGAGTCTGTCACAGTGTTGGTGAGTCTGTCACAGTGTTGGTGATTTCCTCACAATGTTGATGAGTCTGTCACTGTGTTGGTGAGTTCATCACAATGTTGGTGAGTTTGTCACAGTGTTGGTGATTTCATCACAATGTTGGTGAGTCTGTCACTGTGTTGGTGAGTTCGTCACAATGTTGGTGAGTTTGTCACAGTGTTGATGATTTTGTCACAGTGTTGGTGAGCTTGTCACTTTGTTGGTGAGTTCATCACTTTGTTGGTGAGTTCATCACTTTGTTGGTGAGTTCATCACTTTGTTGGTGAGTTCATCACACTGTTGGTGAGTTTTTCAAAATGTTAGTGAGCTTTTGTGTGTGTGTGATTGTCTCATTGTTTTTGAGTTTGTGTGATTGACATCACAGTGGTGGCGAGCTTTTCACAATGTTGTCAGAGTGTGTGTGTGTGTACGAATGTGTGAGAGAAAGAGACTGTCATATTGTTAGGGAGTTTTGTGTGATTGTCACAGTTTTGGTCAGTTTTATGTGATTGTCATAACATTTGTGAGTTTGTATGTGATAGTGACAATGTTGATGTTTGTGTGTGTGTGTGTGTGTGTGTGGTGTGATTGTCACAATATTGGTGAATTTGTGAGGCATGATTGTCATAATATTAATCAATTTGTGTGGCATGATTGTCAGAATATTGGTGAATTTGTATGGCATGATTGTCACAATATCGGTGAATTTATGTGGCATGATTGTCACAATATCGGTGAATTTATGTGGCATGATTGTCATAATATCGGTGAATTTATGTGGCATGATTGTCACAATATTGCTGAATTTGTGTGGCATGATTGTCACACTATCGGTGAATTTGTCTGGTCTGTTACTATTCTAAGTTAGACTGTCCACCTTGTCCAAACCTGGCTATTGTATGTCAGAAATGTGATTTTATCATGAACACAGAACTTGAGCAGTTTGTGTGCATCTTTTATGCCAGACCCTGGCAGCTGTGCAGAGAATGCCTTCAGATGTACCAACGGCAACTGTATCTTGCCTCAGTGGAGATGTGACAAGGAGTATGACTGTGCAGATGCTTCTGATGAACACGGCTGTGGTGAGTGTGTTCATCAACTATCTATCTACCTGAGAGTCTTGTAACATCTTTATATTGTAGTACAGGCTTACCTCAGTATTTTCTACCCATCTATAATTCTCCATAGAGAATGTCCTTAGGGACTATGCCATCCTCCATTCTCCAGTTGTGACCCAGCCACTTGAGCCTTCGTAGACTGAGCATTAGTGTAATACCTGCTCTTTCCAGTACCTCAGTGTTTGTAATCTTGTCCTGCCACTTAATGCCACATATTCTTCTTAGGCATCGCATGTGATAACTGTTTAGCCATCTCTCCTGGTGCCACGTTGACCAAGTTTCACTGCCATAAAGCAGAGTGCTGAGAACACAAGCCTGATAGACATGAGTTTTTGTTTTTACCAGTGCTTTCTATTGTGCCAAACTGTTTTTGTTAATCTGCTCATTGTTGTTGCTGCCTTACTTATTCCGATGTTGACTTGATCCAGCGATATACACTGTGGATCCCAGATACGTAAAATGGTCAACTGTCTAGCTCTTCCCCGTCAGTGTAGACTGCAGGTCTAACATTAACACCTTGCACCATAATCTTTTTCTTCTTTTTGTGTGCGTTTGTTTGCTAATTATTAGTCCAAATTGACAGCATGCATTAGCAAAGGCAGATAGTAAACATTGCAGTTCCTCCTCTGAGTGGGTAGTAATAACGGCATCATCTGCAAACAGCAGCTCTCTGATAAGTACTGTACTTATACTGGTTTTGGCCTTCAGCCTACAAGCTTTGGATAGGCTGCCGTCAGATCAAAAATAAATGAAAATACCACCCTTCTGATCACGAAAGACATATTTCAAAAGAAGTGAGAAATATATTCCAAAGATGGTAGTGGCAAGTACACATCCCTTCACTCCGTTGTTTATTATGAACTCCTCTGATGTTACACTGTCAAAATTATTGTACTTTTCCTGGTAGCTTTGTATACTATAATATAAATGTTTAAATCAGTAATCTGTTCACTTGAGGACAACATATGGTATTGTATTCCACAGTTTACGTCTGTGATGCCGATCAGCACACCTGCAGCGATGGCACCTGTTTCCCCCTGAGCTGGGTGTGTGATGGTCACGCTGACTGCCCAGACCAGTCTGACGAACCTGAAAACTGCAGTAAGTATCCACTGTTATATGAAACGGTAAGTTAGTTAGTTAGTTAAGTAGTCTTTCCTCTTGTGTCGAGTGCGGCACATATGGCAGAGGTCATGACTCTCCATGCATGGCGGTTCGTTGCAATCTGTTGTACGTCTTGGATGTTTGAGTGGCCCATGAGTGAGCCTTCCCTGATGATAGTTCTACGTAGGGTTTCCCTTGGTCTTCCACAAAATCTTTTCCCCTGTGGTGTCCAAATGAGGGCTTGGTAAGGAAGTCTTGATTTATCCATTCTAAGGGCGTGGCCGACATAGTTCCAGCGGCGTTTTCGTATAAAATTAGACACATACTCTTGCCTGGATTCATGCCTTATTTGTGTATTGGTTCGGAAATCTGACCATTTGAAATTTAGTATTCTTCTAAGGCATTTATTGAAACAGTAATTATCCACTGTTATATGAAACAGTAAGTATCCACTGTTATATGAAACAGTAAGTATCCACTGTTATGTGAAACAGTAAGTATCCACTGTTATATGAAACAGTAAGTATCCACTATTATATAAAACAGTAAGTATCCACTGTTATATGAAACAATAAGTATCCACTGTTATATGAAACATTAAGTATTTACTGTTATATGAAACAGTAAGTATCCACTGTTATATGAAACAGAAAGTATCCACTGTTATATGAAACAGTAAATGTCCACTGTTATATGAAACAGTAAGTATCCACTGTTATATGAAACAGTAAGTATCCACTGTTATATGAAACAGTAAGTATCCACTGTTATATGAAACAGTAAGTATCCACTATTATATGAAACATTAAGTATCCACTGTTATATGAAACAGTAAGTATCCACTATTTTATGAAACAGTAAGTATCCACTATTATATGAAACAGTAAGTATCCACTATTATATGAAACAGTAAGTATCCACTGTTATATGAAACAGTAAGTATCCACTGTTATATGAAACAGTAAGTATCCACTGTTATATGAAACAGTAAGTATCCACTGTTATATGAAACAGTAAGTATCCACTGTTAAATGAAACAGTAAGTATCCACTGCTATATGAAACAGTAAATATCCACTATTATATGAAACAGTAAGTATCCACTGTTATATGAAACAGTAAGTATCCACTGTTATATGAAACAGTAAGTACCCACTGTTAAATGAAACAGTAAGTGTCCACTGTTAAATGAAACAGTAAGTGTCCACTGTTATATCCACTGTTATATGAAACAGTAAGTATCCACTATTATATGAAACAGTAAGTATCCACTATTATATGAAACAGTAAGTATCCACTGTTATATGAAACAGTAAGTATCCACTATTATATGAAACAGTAAGTATCCACTATTATATGAAACAGTAAGTATCCACTGTTATATGAAACTGATGTTTCTATTGTGAAGTTATTCTCTACAAGGGGTTTGCCAGCAGTCTTGCCATGACTACAGAAGGAATGTCACAGACAAATGAGATTTAATTCAGTGTTTGTTGTGAACTTGGATCAGCTGCTAGCAAATGTGGGGTGTTCTAGGAGAGAGGGGAGGTGGAGAACAAAGCCTCTGACTGCAAGGATAATTTACCGGCTTACTGACTAACTGACTGACGGAGTGATGGACGGACGGAACTAACTACCTGATCCGTGTGTTGTCAGTATTTATGTCTGACAATTCATTGTCTCACAGCCCAACAGAACTGTACCAGAGACCAGTTCCAGTGTCCTACTGGCCGTTGTATCTCCAGTGATTGGCTGTGTGATGGAGACTACGACTGTCCCAATGGGGAGGATGAAAGAATGGATGATAAAGCCAAATGTGGTAAGTGGTTCTGACTACAGCCTTGTTAGTTTAACACATTCACTTTACATAGTCTTCTTCTTCTCCTCTCCTTCCCCTTCCTCTTCATCATCATCATCATCATCATCATCATCAAATTGCCATCCATCTTCATCAGTCATCATCATCATCAAGCATTATTATTCATTCTTAAAAAATGGTCGATGCTGTAAACTCCTGCATGGAGTTGTAATTGTTTATCCATTCTTGGTGGGGTTCACTGGCTGTAAACTCTAACAGAAAGTTATAATTGTTCATTCATTCTTGTTGGTGGTCTTCTGCCAAAACCTGAGTTTTACATGCACAACTGTTTTACAGATCTAGATTATTTGTATGCAGACTGTTGTTTCCTTGTCTCTGACTTTGAAGGAAGCACTCCAAATTACATGAATTGTATGATATGCTGTTTACAGAGGGGAGGGTCTATCCCCCCCCCCCCCCCCCCCCATCCTCAAGATTGCAGACAAAGAGTTTGGAGTCTGACTATAATAATGTCAGATGTAGCAATGTCAAACAGTATTTCCACATCAAACAGTGTTTCCACATCAAACAGTATTTCCACATCAAACAGTATTTCCACATCAAACAGTATTTCCACATCAAACAGTATTTCCACATCAAACAGTATTTCCACATCAAACAGTATTTCCACATCAAACAGTATTTCCACATCAAACAGTATTTCCACATCAAACAGTATTTCCACATTAAACAGTATTTCCACATCAAACAGTATTTCCACATCAAACAGTGTTTCCACATCAAACAGTATTTCCACATCAAACAGTATTTCCACATCAAACAGTATTTCCACATCAAACAGTGTTTCCACATCAAACAGTATTTCCACATCAAACAGTATTTCCACATCAAACAGTATTTCCACATCAAACAGTATTTCCACATCAAACAGTATTTCCACATCAAACAGTATTTCCACATCAAACAGTATTTCCACATCAAACATTATTTCCACATCAAACAGTGGCCATGTTGTGAAGTTCCCTAATGAAGCCTGCCCAGTTTCAGAAGCAGCATCTGGGACCAATACATGGTCACAAAAATAAAGCCATTCAACCCCCCCCCCCCCCCCCCCCCCGACCTAAAAAACATCCACACACACGAAGAAGGGAAGTAGCCCATGAAGTTAAAAAGATAGGACATACATACACACACACACACGCACGCGTGCGCACACACTCACACTGAAACAAATGCAGACTCACAAACAAAAACACATATGCACACAGACACACACACATACGCGCACAGACACACACACACACACTAAAACAAATGCAGACTCACAAACAAAAACACATGAGCGCACAGACACACACACATACGCGCACAGACACACACACACACACTAAAACAAATGCAGACTCACAAACAAAAACACATATGCACACAGACACACACACATACGCGCACAGACACACACACACACACTAAAACAAATGCAGACTCACAAACAAAAACACATGAGCGCACAGACACACACACATACGCGCACAGACACACACACACACACTAAAACAAATGCAGACTCACAAACAAAAACACATATGCACACAGACACACACACATACGCGCACAGACACACACACACACACTAAAACAAATGCAGACTCACAAACAAAAACACATGAGCGCACAGACACACACACACATATTCGCACAGACACAAAAACACACAAATACGTGCACAGACTCAAACACACACACATACCCACACAGATACAAACACACATGCAGACACACAAACATGCAGACACACACAAGTGGACATAGATGCAGACACACCCACAGATGCAGACACACCCACATACATGCACAAACATACACAGATGCAGACACACACACAAACGCACACAGACACACTCACACACACAGATGCAGACACACACACAAACGCACACAGACACACTCGCAGACACTCACACAGACACTCAAACACACCTACATTCACAGACACTACACACAGGCTGATGCTCACGCAGACACATACACACTGACACGCACCCATAGACCCACACATGCAGATGCATACGCAGACATACATACACACAGGCACAGACACAGACACACACATGCAGACACATAGACACGCACGCATAGACACACACACGGAGACTAACACAGGCAAACACACACAGACATATACACACAGACACACATAGAGATGTACACAGATATATGTTTACACACAGTGATGCTCATATACACTGACACTCACACAGATGCACACACATGCAGGCACATACAAACACAGCAAAGACACACACACAAACACACACACAGGCAGACACAGCCACACACACGTAGAACACACACACACGCAAACACACACAGATACACATGCAGACACATGAGGACATGGGGGGAGCTGCCTGCAATAGCAAAGAATAAGACAACTTGGTGTGAGTTGGTTGAGAGCCTGTGCTCCATTGGGGTATAATGCTGGACGAAAGAAAAAGAAAGAAAGAGAAAATTCAACATGAAATAGTTGCTTGTTGTTTTCTTCAGCCCCGACCGAATGTGCTGCAGATCAGTTCCTGTGTTTGAACCGGCGCTGTATCAAAACTACTTTCTACTGCGATGGGGAGAATGACTGTGGTGACAGTTCAGATGAGCCAGATACATGTGGTCAGTACAACAGCTTCTTTGCCTTTTCAGAGTGGTCAGTCTTTAGGAATAGAGTTATCCATTTGTGTAAATAGAGTTATGAGACAACATGAGGTTGAAAACCTCAAGAGGAAGAGAGAGACCTAGAAGAAGATGGACCGAATGAGTTTACTAAGACTTCATAACACAGCGTTCCAAGTAACAGAGCTTATCCTGGCTCAGCTACCTATCATCTTTTAACCCACCCAGTGGCAGATATTTAATTTAAAAAAAAAAAAAAAAGCGAGTTGGAGAAATTTGTATGTAAATGTAGTACAGTCAGTCTTTGAGATGGAAGTGGTCAGCCTGCATGGTCAAAGTGGTTGTTCTTTCCAGGTAAAAGTCATCAATCTTTGTGAGAGAGAGCAGTCAGTCTGTTTATTATGGTAGCTAGTTTCAGTCTTTGTGAGGGCAAAGCTTTCAGTCTGGGTGAGGGCAAAGCTTTCAGTCTGTGTGAGGGTATAGCTATAATTCTGAGTAAGGATAGCAAATTCAGTTTACTTGAGGGTAGAGCTATAGTGTGTGTGAGGGTAGAGCTTTCAGTCTGTGAGGGTAACAAATTCAATTTATGTGAGGGTAGACTATCAGTCTGTGGAAGGGTAGCAAATTCAGTCTGTTAGGGTAGCAAACTCAGCCAGTGTGGGGTTAGAACTCGTGGTCTGTGGGTGGGTAGCAGATTCAGTCTGAGGAAGGGTAGCAGACTATCACGGTAGAAATATCATTCTGTGTGAGGGTAGCAAACGCATTCTGAAGGAGGGTAGCAAATTCACCCTCTGTTAGTGTAGCGAACTCAGTCTTTATTATGTGAGGGTAGCAGATTCATTATGTGAGGGTAGCAATTTCATTATGTGGGGGTAGCAGATTCATTATGTGAGGGTAGCAGATTCATTATGTGGGGTTAGCAGATTCATTATGTGAGGGTAGCAAAATCATTATGTGAGGGGAAGAAGTTAATCTAGTATGAAAGTAGTAAATTTAGTCTGTGTAAGGGCAGAACCATCTGTCGGTCTGAAAGTTTTAACTAGCCTGGGTATACGTCATGCACTAACTTCTGGTTTTGAGTTTCTACAGTGATGCATTGTTTATTGCTGCAGTGTATGGACAGTGTCAGGAGGATGAGTTTGAGTGCCATGCGGACAAGAGAGTTCGGTGCATCAAGCAGTCCAAGCGCTGCAATGGCTGGTTTGACTGTCCTGACCACTCAGACGAAAAAGACTGCCCCAACACTACCCCTCAGCCTACAAATGTTTGTGAGAATAGTACCTACTTTCAGTGCAGCAACAACATGTGCATCAAGGAAGTGTTGGTCTGTAATGGCAACAATGATTGCAGTGATAATTCTGATGAACCGTCCAACTGTGGTAAGTTGTGGGATGATTGATTGTTGTCTGTCATTTATGAAGTTTGCAGTTGTTTGTTGTCATGGCTGTATGGAACCTGGTGTGGGTTATGTCACAGTGACTGGAGCCACAATGCTGATGATCTGTCCAAGTAGCACTATGTGGTTCAGTTAAATAAACTGGCATAATTTCCCTTGCAGTAAGCACAGCAAGCAACTTGCTCCCAAATTGCCTTGACCATATCTGCTTTTTCATACATCAGTTCACTACCCAGTAATGCAGAACCAGGTGGCCTGTCTGCTTGCTCATTTCCCAACACACTGGCTTGACCTGGAGAAACAATACAAAGTACATTATGGGCACAGTTCTTGACCTCCAAAGGAAAGCATGCCACTCTACACAAAGATTGCCCATCTTCACCTTTTATAATCCTTTACATGTCTGTTACAGCCACAACATCTGTATGCAGCTGATGCTGCAGCCAGGAAATAGAGATGAGCAACCCATATGGAGGTTCACCAGGATCAGGGCTGTTACATTCTAGAAACAGGTTCCCTGCCGGAACCTTGCCAGGTGGATGGCATGAATGTTTCCTTGTAAGTCGGAGTGAGAGCAAGGAACCAGCTGTCAATCAGATGTGTAGGCAACACTGAAGATCTGGAACAAAAACAAAGTCCAGAAGTAGATGACGGTCAGGGCTTAAGCCTGGAGTTTACAACTGCTGAACACAAAGAAGAAGAAGTACGAACAAGCAAACAAACTTTATTTTCAAAAGGTCACATATTGGGCACGCAGGACAATGTTACATTTGATCCGTCCAAACACTCACCTTTCACATTCTATCTGTAAAGGATGGTGTGTTCATGTAACAGTGTACATAAGAGGAATATTGCAGGAGAAGACGCTCCAGCCAGTAAAAAACGGGTGTTATTATTGTGATCACTGGGAGGTATTGTTGTAAGATTCGTCTACTGACTCTTGCAGAAATCAACGAATGTAGCTCCAAGCGGCCCGTCTGCAGCCAGATCTGTGTGGACAAGAAGATTGGCTATGAGTGTCAGTGCCACCCAGGCTACCAGCTGGAGCAGGAGAGTTTGAGTAACAGGGAGATCTCACCAAACAAAAAGTGTATGGGTAAGTGTTTGAGTAATAAGGAGATCTCACCAAACAAAAAAATGTATGGGTAAGTGTGTGAGTAACAAGGAGATCTCACCAAACAAAAAGTTTATGGGTAAGTGTTAGAGTAACAAGGAGATCTCACCAAACAAAAAGTGTATGGGTAAGTGTTGGAGTAATAAGGAGATCTCATCAAACAAAAAGTGTATGGGTAAGTGTGTGAGTAACAAGGAGATCTCACCAAAACAAAAAGTTTATGGGTAAGTGTTTGAATAATAAGGAGATCTCACCAAACAAAAAGTGTATGGGTAAGTGTGTGAGTAACAAGGAGATCTCACCAAAACAAAAAGTTTATGGGTAAGTGTTTGAATAATAAGGAGATCTCACCAAACAAAAAGTGTATGGGTAAGTGTGTGAGTAACAAGGAGATCTCACCAAACAAAAAGTGTATGGGTAAGTGTTGGAGTAATAAGGAGATCTCACCAAACAAAAAGTCTATGGGTAAGTGTGTGAGTAACAAGGAGATCTCACCAAACAAAAAGTGTATGGGTAAGTGTTTGAGTAACAAGGAGATCTCACCAAACAAAAAGTGTATGGGTAAGTGTTTGAGTAATAAGGAAATCTCACCAAACAAAAAGTGTGTGGGTAAGTGTTGAAGTAACAAGGAGATCTCACCAAACAAAAAGTGTATGGGTAAGTGGTGACGAAATCAGTAAATGATTTATGAATCAGTAAGTGAAACTAGAAACTGTAAATGGTGAAACAAATCAGTAAATAATTTTTTAAAAATCAGTGAGTGTGGAAAAAAGAAATCAGTAAGTAATTTAAAAAACAGTAAAGTGCTTTAACAATCAGTAAGTGATTAAAAAAAAAATCGGTTAGTGATGAAAACATCTGTGAAAGTGGTGATAAATTCAGTAATTGATGAACAGGTAAGTAAATAATGGAAATCATTAAGTGATTAAAAATCAGTATAATATATAATCAAATAAAATCAATATTTGATGAGTTTGTGCCCTGTGCAGCCCTCTCTGGAGATGGGTTTGGCAATTTGCAGAGAGAAAGTGAGCCTTATGGGATAGAAATCTGTGCAGTGAAGTTGCTCCTCCTAACTTTAAATTAACTTGTAAATTTATTTCAGACGTCAATGAGTGTGCTACCGTGTTGCCCTGCAGCCACTACTGTACTAACACAGTGGGCTCCTTCAAATGCAGCTGTGCTGATGGGTACCGGCTGCTGAAAGATGGCAGAACCTGCATGGCTAACGGTCAGTGAAATGTGGCTCCTTGGCTCAAGTCTTGACCAACAGCAACCTTTGTTCTCCCATCTCCCACCTGGTTAAGTTAGTAACAAACAGACAATGTGATGACACTCAGTTTTATGCTGAACTGTTCATTGCTGTTCCAATAGTCATGTTGGTTCATCTCTGTCTTGTTGGTTCATCTCTGTCTTGTTGGTTCATCTCTGTCATGTTGGTTCATCTCTGTCATGTTGGTTCATCTCTGTCATGTTGGTTCATCTCTGTCATGTTGGTTCATCTCTGTCATGTTGGTTCATCTCTGTCATGTTGGTTCATCTCTGTCATGTTGGTTCATCTCTGTCATGTTGGTTCATCTCTGTCATGTTGGTTCATCTCTGTCATGTTGGTTCATCTCTGTCACGTTGGTTCATCTCTGTCATGTTGGTTCATCTCTGTCATGTTGGTTCATCTCTGTCATGTTGGTTCATCTCTGTCATGTTGGTTCATCTCTGTCATGTTGGTTCATCTCTGTCATGTTGGTTCATCTCTGTCATGTTGGTTCATCTCTGTCATGTTGGTTCATCTCTGTCATGTTGGTTCATCTCTGTCATGTTGGTTCATCTCTGTCATGTTGGTTCATCTCTGTCATGTTGGTTCATCTCTGTCCTTGGTCACCACTCGTTCTTCTGGGGAGTTTGCCACAACTGCTACCACTTCAGATCTACAGCTTTAACAATAGTTCAGTGACCTGTTAATCTAGAAGGTCCATTCAAACTGATTCCTTGTCTCTGATGCACCGCACAACAACCACTCTCTGCCAACTTGAACGTTCAACTCAGTGTATGACTCCTGGCTCAGCCATTTTCTCTGCATGCCAGATACTTATACCCACCGTCAGCTGTAATGATTTAGGCAGACACTCTTCTCAGTCAACCCAACAACCGTTCTCTCTCGCTGTCGAACACCAACTGATCATTCCTACTTCCTCACATCCAATCCTTTCTTCCCATTCACAAGTTTCTGCTTCCAGTTACTCCCTCATTCATGAGAAAATCACAATCTTACTTTGGTCACATATTGTCACACTTCTCCACTGATTCATTCTTAACTGGCCCATGACCATTAACCTTTTACTCTGGGGAACCGCTTATGACTCAGAGGATTTCCCATTCATTACAGTAAGTTAGTTTCATCTTTCAAGTGTAGCTAAACTGATGGGTACCAGCTGTTGAAAGATGGCAGAAACCTGTATGTCTAATAGTAGGTTGACTTCATTCTTTAACTGTTGCTGGTGCGAAATATCATTATCATCAGCTGGTCCACTATGAAAATAGCTTTCACCACCGCATGCTGAAACTCCACCTGATCCCTGGAAATAGCTTTCACCACCGCATGCTGAAACTCCACCTGATCCCTGGAAATAGCTTTCACCACCGCATGCTGAAACTCCACCTGATCCCTGGAAATAGCTTTCACCACCACATGCTGAAACTCCACCTGATCCCTGAAAATAGCTTTCATGACCACATGCTGAAACTCCACCTGATCCCTGGAAATAGCTTTCCCCACCACATGCTGAAATTCCACCTGATCCCTGGAAATAGCTTTCATGACCACATGCTGAAACTCCACCTGATCCCTGGAAATAGCTTTTCCCACCGCATGCTGAAACTCCACCTGATCCCTGAAAATAGCTTTCACCACCGCATGCTGAAACTCCACCTGGTCCCTGGAAATAGCTTTCACCACCACATGCTGAAACTCCACATGATCCCTGGAAATAGCTTTCACCACCACATGCTAAAACTCCACCTGATCCATGGAAATAGCTTTCATGACCACATGCTGAAACTCCACCTGATCCCTGGAAATAGCTTTCCCCACCGCATTCTGAAACTCCACCTGATCCCTGGAAATAGCTTTCACCACCCCATGCTGAAACTCCACCTGGTCCCTGGAAATAGCTTTCACCACCGCATGCTGAAACTCCATCTGGTCCCTGAAAATAGCTTTCACCACCGCATGCTGAAACTCCACCTGGTCCCTGGAAATAGCTTTCACCACCACATGCTGAAACTCCACATGATCCCTGGAAATAGCTTTCACCACCACATGCTGAAACTCCACCTGGTCCCTAGAAATAGCTGTCACCACCCCATGCTGAAACTCCACCTGGTCCCTAGAAATAGCTTTCACCACCCCATGCTGAAACTCCACCTGGTCCCTGGAAATAGCTTTCACCACCCCATGCTGAAACTCCACCTGGTCCCTAGAAATAGCTTTCACCACCCCATGCTGAAACTCCACCTGGTCCCTGGAAATAGCTTTCACCACCCAATGCTGAAACTCCACCTGGTCCCCTACCAACTTTCCCTGCTTGGGAACTTTCATGTTCAGGTTGTCCTTGATATCATTTTTGTTCACGTTGTGATTCCTCCTGTTCTTCCCATGAACCATACCTTTCTTACTCTCCTTTCCAAACTGTTATGATAAATAATTTCAATTTCTGAGAAGCAGTACAGACTGTGAGCCAAGCATGTCATAAAAGGCAACTAATTAAGGGTTTGCTTGTTTGTTGGATCAAAACGTGCAGGTTCCTAGCTGTAAACTACAAGACAATGTGCCAGCCACTCTTTCAGTGGGAAATACAGAAGACGAGGAATGTTTTATATTTGATCAATTATGTGTATTTAATTCTTTTTTCTCTCTGATAAAAGTATTGTTTTCATGTTAAAGAAATGTGTTGCTTTTCTGAGGCAATATATTACTCACTCTGGAAGTATTATGCTATATACATGACATATTTTTCCTTAAAATTGAAGTATTTTTCTATACTGTCGATATGTTTAACTGTAATGTGGAAGTATTTAACAATACTATGAACATATTTTACGTTATTTTATTTTAAATGGAAGTATTTTACTATACTTAACATATATTTAACTATAATGTGGAAATATTTTACAATACTGTGGAAATATTTTACTTTGAAATGGAAGTATTTTACAATACTGTGGACATATTTTACTTTGAAATGGAAGTATTTTACAATACTATGGACATATTTTACTTAAATGTATAAGTATTTTACAGTACTATGGACAAATATTTACTTTAATGTGGAAGTCATTTACTATACTATGGAAATATACTATAGTATAGCATGGAAAAAATGATGAACCTAAAATGGAATGAATTTAAAGAGGAGTGAAGTATTAAGAGAAAAGTCTGGCCAACCACTAGTACCAACAGCTATAAGACAGAGAGGATGGTGCTGTACTAGACACAACCTGAGAAGAAATCAGCAGAGAATCACCAGACAGGCACTTCAATGGGGAATAAAGGTAAGTAGGCGAGAAATGAAATCCTAAAACGAACATTGATAAGAGATGCTAAAAGTGCTGGACTGGATTCTAACCATAATATTGAATTGATCGCTCAGGATAGAATGGAACAGAGGAATAAACTTTGAGCCCTATGTGTCATATAATGGCATAACAGGACATTGAGTGAATAAATACTGTGGAAATATTTTGCTATACTAGGGCAGTGTACACTTCTGTAGAAATATTGTGAATACATGTCGATGAAATGTTTAGCCTGAATCTGTAGATATCAGTAGTTTTTGCATGTGCACGTATCTGAAGACCAGTGTAGTTACTTCCTGTCTTGACCCACCAGGACCTGAGCCTCTGATTCTGATCTCCAACCGCTACTACCTGCGTCTGATCAGCACCACCAACAGAACCAATACCACGGTGACCACGGCGCTGAAGAACTCGGTGGCTGTGGACTACGACTGGAAGGAGCAGATGATTTACTGGTCAGACATCAGCAGTGACAAGAGCAGTATCTCCAGGATGGGCTTCAACTTTACCAGCCGAACCAAGCACAGGGTGAGAACATAATGTCTTCTTCTTATAGTAAGTGAACATTTTCAGAGGTACAGATGAGTGCAGTGCTGAGTTACCAGGCATTTGGCTGACACTCATTACCCAGGGGAAAGAACGAACAAACAAACTTTATTTTCAAATGGTCACAAATTGGGCACGCAGGCCCGTCTTACATTTGGCCCCTCCAAACATCCCTCTTTCACACTGCATCTGTATTTTATCAATAAGCATGTTATATTCATATGATAATATGCATATTATGGATATCCAAAAAAAAAAAGGGGGGGGGGGGGGAAGCACAAAAGCATGGGTGGTAAAACGCATGCACACAAACACACACACACACACACACACACCCACTCACTTAAACACACTACACATACAAACAGACATACGCACACCTACCCAATCACACACGCAGATACACAGACACACACATAAACTGGCATACAGACACACACAGATACATATGCACAAACACATGCAGACACAAACACACAGATACACTTGGAGACACACAAACACACACATACAATTGCAGACACATACACACACATGCGCTGATGCTCACACAGACACATACACTCAACCACAGACACACACTCACGCAGAAGCATACGCAGGCATTCATACACACAGGCACACGCAGAGATACACGCAGACACACACACCCACAGACACACAACCGCAAACACATATGCAGACATACATATACACAGGCACACACACAGACACACACATATAGTCACATCAGAGACACTACACACAGAGAAACACACCGACAAACACACACAGACATTACAAACAGACACACACAGAGACATACACAGATAAATACAAACAGAGACGTGCATATACACAGGCATTCACTCAGACACACACAGGCACATACAAAGACACAAACACACACATACAAACACACACGCAAGCAAACCCACAGACATATAGTAAGGCTGCCACTGGAGTCGTCTTCTTTGTTGTTGTTGCTTTCACCAGCTGTAAACTCTGGCAGAAAGTTCTTGTATTTCATCCACTTCTAGACTTAAGACTTATTTCAGAACCTGAGTTTTGAGTGCACATCCGTTTTTAAGAGATCTGGCCTATTTCGGTACAGACTGATATTTCCTCACCTCACAGTCAGATGCACTCTGACTTCGAAGAAAACATCCCTAATTAGTCAACTTTTATGGCCTACTTGTAAGAGAGCAGCAGCTCCCCCCCCCCTCCCCTCCATCCCAAACACAATAGGGCCCTGGAACCCACAAGGAGAAATGGTACCACCAGAATCGAAACTATGCTTGCTGCTGAAGATGGAGATGGAGTGATTGTGAGAATGTCCCATGTGCTGCGATGTTGATTCTTAGCTTAACTCTGCATAGTCCATGTTGTATGGGATTAGTAGACAGCCTTTTTCCTGGTGTGTCTTTCCTCATTTCTGATGCAGATGTTCTATACGCTGTGTTACCAATGTAGAATTTATATAAACACACTGACAGATTCTCAGTCGATGCTGCAGAGGTTCAAAATGGATAAATGTTTCATGCGTGGATACCAAGCATGAGTACATCAACATTACAGGGACTCACGTGGATAATACTGCCTGTGATACACAGGAGTGCGAGGAAATGAAAGTGCAGATTTTCTGGCTACAAAAGCTATAGCTACAGGAGCACTGGCACTGGACAAAGGAGACATTCTGAAGACCATTTATGATTGAATGTTGATAGACGATGACCCAAGATTAGATGAAATAATATGCGTAAGAAGATGTGGACGAAGAATTAGTTGTGGATCAAGCAAGGAGGGTTGTGAGTGGAAGTAAACAACAAGTTTATTATCAGTATGCTGCGGAAACTTCATTTACACCTTAAGACATTTGCTGCAGGAGACGGAGCACCCATGGGTATGCCTGGTGAGCTAAGATGTTGCTTCTTGAATCTGTAATCAGTATGTTACCAAACTATCCAGCATCTTCTGTTTGGAGATCCTTCTGCCTGTCTTCCTCTCAATAACCTGACAGCAGTTATCATTAACCAATTAGTTTTGGAGATAACCTGTGAATTCTCACAATGGTTCATGTTGTGTTTTTCATATCAGGAACAAGAGCAGCTGCACAACAGCACTGTGCGCAACCCTGATGGCCTAGCTGTGGACTGGATCGGTCGCAACCTCTACTGGTGTGACAAAACTACAGACACCATCGAAGTGTCCACACTAGATGGGAAATATCGCCGGATTTTACTACGAGAAGGTCTGCAGGAGCCCCGGGCACTAGAGGTGGGTCTTTTTTCAAGATTAGATGATTGTATGTGTGTGTGTATATATATTTATATGTTTGTGTGTGTGTGTGTGTGTGTATGTATGTATATATATATCTATATATATGCATGTCTGTATCAGTGGGCATGTGAAGTGATCTGTTTGAGAAATGACTGTGTGTATGAGAGAGAGAGAGAGAGAGAGAGAGAGGAGAGAGAGCTCTGCACAGGACTAAAATCTATATATATATATATACACACACACACACACACTCAGGCATGCGCGCATGTACACACACACACGCACATATCACACCACACACTTATCACACAGATAAATGCTACAAATTGCCAGCCAAAAATATGTGACTTGAATTTTATGAAAAAGGCTAAGAGACAAGTGAAACTTATTACAAACATCAGAATGAGCCAATAATCAGTGAGCATTTTTATTCACATTATACATTGTTAAAAACAAGAACATGTGCAGTGACCATTCCCTGCCTGACAACCAAAACTATAATCTCCGTGACTGCTTGCTCTCTCCAGGTGTTCCCCCAAAAAGGTCTTCTGTTCTTCACAGACTGGGGAGATAGTCCACACATCAGTCGTATGAACATGGATGGTACTGATGTCCGCAAGATCATCAATGAGAGCATTGAATGGCCAAATGCGCTCACCATTGACTATGTTACAGAGAAGGTAGGTTTCACATAATCATCATCGTCACGTGCCATGCCGTTAAGTTTAGGCTGTTATGTTATAGTATCTCACATGGTCATCAGAATCAAGGATCAGGTCAGTGTTCTTGTTCAAGAGTTTACTTCTTTTCATAACATGTCCAAAAAAACACTGATAGAACAAACATGATCTGTTGTATCAGAACAAACATGATCTGTGTTAAACATATCAGAACAAACATGATCTGTGTTACACATATCAGAACAAACATGATCTGTGTTACACATATCAGAACAAACATTATCTGTGTTACACATATCAGAACAAACATGATCTGTGTTACACATATCAGAACAAACATGATCTGTGTTACACATATCAGAACAAACATGATCTGTGTTACACATATCAGAACAAACAAGATCTGTGTTACACATATCAGAAACAAACATGATCTGTGTTTTACACATTACACATATCAGAACAAACAAGATCTGTGTTACACATATCAGAACAAACATGATCTGTGTTACACATCTGTGTTACACATATCAGAACAAACATTATCTGTGTTACACATATCAGAACAAACATGATCTGTGTTCACAAACATATCAGAACATATCAGAACAAACAAGATCTGTGTTACACATATCAGAACAAACATTATCTGTGTTACACATATCAGAACAAACATGATCTGTGTTACACATATCAGAACAAACAAGATCTGTGTTACACATATCAGAACAAACATTATCTGTGTTACACATATCAGAACAAACATCTGTGTTACACATATCAGAACAAACATCTGTGTTACACATATCAGAACAAACATCTGTGTTACACATATCAGAACAAACATCTGTGTTACACATATCAGAACAAACATCTGTGTTACACATATCAGAACAAACATGATCTGTGTTACACATATCAGAACAAACAAGATCTGTGTTACACATATCAGAACAAACATTATCTGTGTTACACATATCAGAACAAACATGATCTGTGTTACACATATCAGAACAAACAAGATCTGTGTTACACATATCAGAACAAACATTATCTGTGTTACACATATCAGAACAAACATCTGTGTTACACATATCAGAACAAACATCTGTGTTACACATATCAGAACAAACATGATCTGTGTTACACATATCAGAACAAACATGATCTGTGTTACACATATCAGAACAAACATGATCTGTGTTACACATATCAGAACAAACATTATCTGTGTTACACATATCAGAACAAACATCTGTGTTACACATATCAGAACAAACATGATCTGTGTTACACATATCAGAACAAACATTATCTGTGTTACACATATCAGAACAAACATGATCTGTGTTACACATATCAGAACAAACATTATCTGTGTTACACATATCAGAACAAACATCTGTGTTACACATATCAGAACAAACATGATCTGTGTTACACATATCAGAACAAACATTATCTGTGTTACACATATCAGAACAAACATCTGTGTTACACATATCAGAACAAACATTATCTGTGTTACACATATCAGAACAAACATGATCTGTGTTACACATATCAGAACAAACAAGATCTGTGTTACACATATCAGAACAAACATTATCTGTGTTACACATATCAGAACAAACATGATCTGTGTTACACATATCAGAACAAACATGATCTGTGTTACACATATCAGAACAAACATTATCTGTGTTACACATATCAGAACAAACATTATCTGTGTTACACATATTAGAACAAACATTATCTGTGTTACACATATCAGAACAAACATTATCTGTGTTGCATGATCTGTGAGATTGGCACCTGAAGGACTCCTTTTTTGTGAAAATAGACTCTGTGGCATGTCAGTAATAAAAAACAAAAGAAGACATCAAATGAATGTTGATATAACGCTCCTTCCTAGTGGATTCCTAGGCCCTATTTTGGTGAAAACGAGAGTAGATCCACTACCTCCCCAACAAGCATGTCGTAGTAGACTAAATGGGCGCTTCCTTTTGAAGTCGGAGTGCACCTGTCTGAGGGGGGCAATGAAGCAAGAGTATGCATACAGATAAGTCACATCTGTAAAACAGATGTGTACACAACACTCAGGCTCTGGAATAAGACTGAAGTCCAAAGGTAGACGAACAACCATAACTTTTTGCCAGAATTTACAGCCGGTAAATAAAAAAAAAAAAAAGGCATGTAGCACTTCATCAGCCAAAAAAAAAAAAAAACAGACATATCAGATTCTTCAACCTGTAAGCAGCAGCTGCAGAAATTGCAATTAGAAAATGAGTTGGGCTAGCCTAGGCTTTGTTTCACATAAGATGAAATAACACAAGCCTGAGCTATATCAGACAGAAAATGAGTTAACACAAGCATGGACTGTGTTACACAGAAGATAACACAAGCATGAACTATGTTACACAGAAGATAAGTTAACACATGAATGAAGTGTGTTACACAGAAGATAAGTTACCAACATGAACTATGTTACACAGAAGATAAGTTAACACAAGCATGAACTATGTTACACAGAAGATAAGTTAACGCAAGCATGAACTGTGTTACACAGAAGATAAGCTAACGCAAGCATGAACTATGTTACACAGAAGATAAGTTAACACATACATGAACTGTGTTACACAGAAGATAAGTTAACACATGCATGAACTATGTTACACAGAAGATAAGTTAACACAAGCATGAACTATGTTACATAGAAGATAAGTTAACACAAGCATGAACTATGTTACACAGAAGATAAGTTAACACATGCATGAACTGTGTTACACAGAAGATAAGTTAACACAAGCATGAACTATGTTACACAGAAGATAAGTTAAAACACAAGCATGAATTATGTTACACAGAAGATAAGTTAACACAAGCATGAACTATGTTACACAGAAGATAAGTTAACACAAGCATGAACAATGTTACACAGAAGATAAGTTAACACAAGTATGAACTATGTTACACAGAAGATAAGTTAACACAAGCATGAACAATGTTACACAGAAGATAGGTTATACAAAACAACCATGGATGTTGCTGCACAAAAAAGTGGATTGTGGAGAAAGTGACAGTGTGAGACATGTTTGACACCTCAAACTCATCAGGCATACAATGCTGGACCTCTGTTTTTGTAGACCAATGGACACACAGCGTAGGCCCCCTTTACTTCCATGGAAATTATCTGGTACCCATTTTAGGTTGGGCTAATCTAACTTCAAGTGTCAGTTTTAAAAATAAAAGCCACCTCCATATGGGTTTGAACATGAGACCTTCAGGTCGGCAGGCAAGCATCTAACTGCTATGCTATCACAGCTCTCAAAAGTAGATTATTTGAACCCAGGTAACCTCTTACACCTGTGTTGTAACACCTGTCGTCTGTCTACAGGTGTTCTGGGGTGATGGAGACCTGGACTATATTGGTATGGCAGACTTGGATGGTCAGAACGCCAGGGTCATCCTCAGGGACAACAAGAAAACACCGCACGTGTTTGCTTTAACCACGTTTGAAGGTATGCCAGTGCCGGCTTCTGTATGTTTGTGCTCCCTACGTAGGTTTCAGGACCCCCCTGCCCCCCCCCCTCACCCCCTTTTTTTTTATGTAAACAAGATAGACCCACAGCCTACCCAATATGCATGTCTAGACAAGGGAAGTCATGTATAGGAATGTTTATATAGAAAAGAGGGTTTATGTACATACATGTCTTTTTAGTTGCTAGACAGTGGAAGTCATATTATAGAATTTATATTATCATCATGTGCCGTGCCGGTAAGCATAGCCTGTCATATTTTGCCATCTCACACAGCAACCAGAATCCTGGATCAGTTCAACCCATCCATTTGTCCAGGTCATCCAGATATTTATCTTTTTGCCTTCCTCTTGCTCTCTTTGTTTAAATCTTGCTAGATTTATATATCTTCATGTTTATATAGCTGCTAGACAAGGGAAGTCATATTTGTTCATGTCTGTTCAGCTGCCAGACAAGGGAAGTCATATATGTTCATGTCTGTTCAGCTGTCAGACAAGGGAAGTCATATATGTTCATGACTTTTCAGCTGCCAGACAAGGGAAGTCATATTTGTTCATGTCTGTTCAGCTGTCAGACAAAGGAAGTCATATATGTTCATGTCTGTTCAGCTGCCAGACAAGGGAAGTCATATTTGTTCATGTCTGTTCAGCTGTCAGACAAGGGAAGTCATATATGTTCATGTCTGTTCAGCTGTCAGACAAGGGAAGTCATATATGTTCATGTCTGTTCAGCTGTCACACAAGGGAAGTCATATATGTTCATGTCTGTTCAGCTGTCAGACAAGGGAAGTCATATATGTTCATGTCTGTTCAGCTGCCAGACAAGTGAAGTCATATTTGTTCATGTCTGTTCAGCTGTCAGACAAGGGAAGTCATATTTGTTCATGTCTGTTCAGCTGTCAAACAAGTGAAGTCATATATGTTCATGTCTGTTCAGCTGTCAGACAAGGGAAGTCATATTTGTTCATGTCTGTTAAGCTGCCAGACAAGGGAAGTCATATATGTTCATGACTATTTAGCTATTGGACAAGGAAGTCATATTTCTTCATAACTATAACTATTGGACAAGGAAGTCATATTTCTTCATGTCTATTTAGCTATTGGACAAGGAAGTCATATTTGTTCATGACTATTTAGCTATTGGACAAGGAAGTCATATTTCTTCATAACTATAACTATTGGACAAGGAAGTCATATTTCTTCATAACTATAACTATTGGACAAGGAAATCATATTTTTTATAACTATTTAGCTATTGGACAAGGAAATCATATTTCTTTGTAACTATTTAGCAATTGGACAAGGAATTAATATTTGTTCATTTCTTTTTTAGCTATTAGACAATGGAAGTTCTTTATACTCATTTTTTTAAAACTGGTAGACATAAAAAGTCATATTAGTTCATGTCTGTTAATCTGTTAGTGAAGGAGCACAGATGGATCATCGTGGTCTAAAGAGAATGGCAGTGCAAGGAGTGACCAAGTGGGGTCTGGTCGACGATCAGCACTCAAAGGAAAAGTGAGACGGATATACAATCAGACTGCTGTTGGTACCACTGGATATGGAACTTTGTGCTAGCTGCTGAAGATTAGGACTGAGTGCTTATGGGAATTTCCCGAGTGCTGTGATGTTGATTTTCACTAAAACATTAAGACAAGGAAAGTTCTATGTGTTCATGTTAATGTAGCTGATAAGCAAAGAGACGGTATACATTATGTTGTAAATATATAGATATAGACAAGCTAATGCCATCCTTGTCATGTTGGTTGCAGGACTGCTGTATTGGACCGACTGGGAAATTAAAGGGGTCTTTTACTCTTCCAAGTTCTCTGGACATAATGTGACTAACATCATTGAGCTGGTTCATCGGCCCATGGACATCCAGATTGTTCATCCTCTGCGACAAGTACCTCGTACGTTGATCTGTTTCTTTTCAGCAGACATTTTAGAACATGCCAGCTTCTCTCTCTTTCTCTCTCTCTCTCTCTCTCTCACTCTCTCTCTATCTCTCTCTCTTTCTCTCTCTCTCTCTCTTTCTCTCTCTCTACCTATCTCTCTTTCTCTCTCTCTCTCTTTCTCTCTCTCTACCTATCTCTCTTTCTCTCTCTCTACTTCTCCTGTCTATCTAGAGTATATCAGCCTGTCTTATCTTTCCTATCTGTATAAAATATGCTAGCCTAATCTCTCCTGACCATCTAGAATACATTAATATAATCTCTCCTGTCAATCTAGAAAAAATCAGCCTGTCTAATCTCTCCTGTCTAGAAAATATCAGCCTGCCTAGTCTCTCCTGTCTGTCTAGAAAATATCAGCCTGCCTAGTCTCTCCTGTCTGTCTAGAAAATATCAGCCTGCCTAGTCTCTCCTGTCTGTCTAGAAAATATCAGCCTGCCTAGTCTCTCCTGTCTGTCTAGAAAATATCAGCCTGCCTAGTCTCTCCTGTCTGTCTAGAAAATATCAGCCTACCTAGTCTCTCCTGTCTGTCTAGAAGATATCAGCCTGCCTAGTCTCTCCTGTCTGTTAATAAGATATCAACCTGTCTGATCTCTCCTGTCTGTCTAGAAAATATCAGCCTACCTAGTCTCTCCTGTCTGTCTAGAAAATATCAGCCTGCCTAGTCTCTCCTGTCTGTCTAGAAAATATCAGCCTACCTAGTCTCTCCTGTCTGTCTAGAAAATATCAGCCAGTCTAATTTTGCCTTTGTAAGGAATATATATGCCTGTCTAATCTATGTTAGTATCAGCCTGTTTAATATGTTTATTGAGAATATTTAAGTAGATTTTTCTGTATACTCTATACAAATTTTTTATCTCACATGTTTTGTCAGCCAGGGCTTGAGTATGTTTGACAAGTTTTACTATACTACACAAATTGTAAATTTATCCTCTTCACAGTTGTTGTCAGCCAGGGCTTGAGTGTGTGTGACAAGTTTTACTATACTAAACAAGTTGTAAATTTATCCTCTTCACAGTTGTTGTCAGCCAGGGCTTGAGTGTGTGTGACAAGTTTTTCTGTACTAAACAAGTTGTAAATTTATCCTCTTCACAGTTGTTGTCAGCCAGGGCTTGAGTGTGTGTGACAAGTTTTCCTATACTAAACAAGTTGTGAATTTATCCTCTTCACAGTTGTTGTCAGCCAGGGCTTGAGTGTGTGTGACAAGTTTTCCTATACTAAACAAGTTGTAAATTTATCCTCTTCACAGTTGTTATTGAGTGTGTGTGACAAGTTTTCCTATACTAAACAAGTTGTAAATTTATCCTCTTCACAGTTGTTGTCAGCCAGGGCTTGAGTGTGTGTGACAAGTTTTCCTATACTAAACAAGTTGTGAATTTATCCTCTTCACAGTTGTTGTCAGCCAGGGCTTGAGTGTGTGTGACAAGTTTTCCTATACTAAACAAGTTGTAAATTTATCCTCTTCACAGTTGTTGACAGCCAGGGCTTGAGTGTGTGTGACAAGTTAGGCTGTACCCACCTGTGTTTGCTGCGCCCAGGTGATGATGGCATTGGTATCAAGGCAGTCTGTTCCTGTCCAGAAAACCACTATCTGGGAGATGATGGGCAGTCTTGTGTTTCCAACTGTACCAAGTAAGTTTAGCCATCTGTTGTTGTATTTCCAACTGTACCAAGTAAGTTTAGCCATCTGTTGTTATATTTCCAACTGTACCAAGTAAGTTTAGCCATCTGTTGTTGTATTTCCAACTGTACCAAGTAAGTTTAGCCATCTGTTGTTGTATTTCCAACTGTACCAAGTAAGTTTAGCCATCTGTTGTTGTATTTCCAACTGTACCAAGTAAGTTTAGCCATCTGTTGTTGTATTTCCAACTGTACCAAGTAAGTTTAGCCATCTGTTGTTGTATTTCCAACAGTACCAAGTAAGTTTAGCCATCTGTTGTTCTTGTATGAGTTCCATCTGTTGTTGTATTTCCAACTGTAAGTTTTTAGCCATCTGTTGTTGTATTTCCAACAGTTGTACAACATGAGTTTAGTCCATCTTTAGTCATCTGTTGTTGTATTTCCAACTGTACCAAGTAAGTTTAGCCATCTGTTGTTGTATTTGCAACTGTACCTCATAAGTTTTGTCATCTGTTGTTGTTTTTTACCAGTGAGTTTACCACATGTTGTTTTTGTCCCACGTGAGTTTAGTCATCTGTTGTTGTATTTCCAACTGTACCAAGTAAGTTTAGCCATCTGTTGTTCTTGCAGTTGTACAACATGAGTTTAGTCATCTGTTGTTGTATTTCCAACTGTACCAAGTAAGTTTAGCCATCTGTTGCTGTATTTCCAACTGTACCAAGTAAGTTTAGTCATCTGTTGTTCCTGCAGTTGTACCACATGAGTTTAGTCATCTGTTGTTGTATTTCCAACTGTACCAAGTAAGTTTAACCATCTGTTGTTCTTGCAGTTGTACCTCATGAGTTTAGTCATCTGTTGTTGTTTTTACCACATGAGTTTAGTCATCTGTTGTTGTATTTCCAACTGTACCTAGGGCTGTACCGAATAGTGATTTCCACTATTCGGCCGAATACAAATAATGGGACCAACTATTTTGCCTGAATACCAATATTAATAGTGTATCATCATCATCAGGTGACTTGCCGACTGGCGTGTGCGATCATGCCTCTCCACAATCTGCTATCTCCTGCAGCATGTATCAGTTCGTGTGCTGTCGCACCTCCATGCCTTGCAACAAGACTGTCAAGAATCTTCTATCGTAGTCTTCCTCTATCCCTCCTTCCAAAGATCTTTCCAGTGGTCACCAAATGTTCCATTTTCCCTCTTCTCATAACATGGCTGAAAAATGACGACTGTCTCCTTCTGATGTCTGTGATTAGTTGTCTTCGGGCTTCCGCCTCTTTCAAAACCATCGTTCGCTCGGCCGTTCGTTCGATGTAATTTAAACACACCTTCATATTGTCGTTAGCAATATCTTTAAATTTGATTTGGGCGAAGACACCCTGAAAAAAAAAATGCATGATCTCTCTCTCTCTCTCTCTCTCTCTCTCTCTCTCTCTCTCTCTCTCTCTCTCTCTCTCTCTCTCTCTCTCTCTCTCTCTCTCTCTCTCTCTCTCTCTCTCTCTCTCTCTCTCTCTCTCTCTCTCTCTCTCTCTCTCTCTCTCTCTCTCTCTCTCTCTCTCTCTCTCTCTCTCTCTCTCTCTCTCTCTCTCTCTCTCTCTCTCTCTCTACACAGACACACACTCACACACACACGTGCGCACACACACACACACTGTGGTTGGCATTTTATGTGGTTTGTACCACGCAAACGGGTCGCAGTTTCCCCCACTACGACAGATTAAGGCAACAGAAACTATTGTGAGAGAGTTATTTCAGTCCATCACAGTATATGTAGAAACGGGAGTAGGGTAACCACTATTCGTATTCGGCCCCACTGGAACTATTCAGCAGAATACCGAATAGTTATTAGGTCCACTATTTGGCCCCGAAGCGAATATTCGGTACAGCCCTAGTACCAAGTAAGTTTAGCCATCTGTTGTTCTTGCAGTTGTACCATATGAGTTTAGTCATTTGTTGTATTTCCAGCTGTACCATGTAAGATTAGCCATCTCTTGTATTTCCAGTTGTATCCACATGCAATGACACCATTCACATTACAGATTGTTACCATTGTAGTCACTTTACATATTATGATAATGGAAATCACATTTAAGATTGTAATGACACCATTCACATTACAGATTGTAACCATTGTAGTCATCTGGCCAAGATGGCGATATAAACAACGTTTGCAGAAAACTGTAACCAAAAAAAAAAAAAGATTTGTTTATTCCTGGAGAGAATGTTAAATGTGTTAGATTAGTGCCCTTGTTCAGTTGAAGATGAATTCGCAACAGGCCTGGCAAGTCGGTGTGGGATTCAGTGGTTTAAATAGAAAGAAATGCCCAAGATGAAAAAAAGTTGTTTTAGAAGTAGGGAAAATAGAGGCCAGCAGAAGGTAAAAAGGTTAAAACGAGGGTAGGGACGCTCAATATATATGGATGGGACAAAAGAAAAAAACAAGTGATTAAATTAATGGAGAAAAATAATTTTAAAGTATTAGGCTTATCAGAAGTAAGAATGAAAGGACGAGGAATGAAGAAACTACATAAAAATTACGTTTTGATACAATCGGGAGTAGAGGAAATGCAACGTACAAAGCATGGAGTAGGATTTATTATCGATTTCAAAACTGCCAAAAAATATAATAAATGTTTACATCTTGGAAAGGATTGTAAGCTTGAAATTACAAGTAGGAAATAGTTCAGAGGTTCTTTTTCAAATATATGCTTCGTGCAATGGAAATTACAGTGAAGAGATTGGCAAACTACTGTCATCGTCCCGCTATGGAAAAATAAAGGATTTAAGACTGACTGTACTAATTACAGAGGAATATCGCTTCTCAGTCACACTGCAAAAATGTATGCTATGATCATCAAAAACAAAGGCTAAGACCATTGATAGAGTATCAACTTTCAAAAGCACAAATGGGCTTTCGACGAAACAGAAGTTGCAAAGATGCCATTTGTACATTGAGACAACTATCAGAGAGAGCAACAGAACACGAAAAGACATGTTTGTTTACATTCATAGACCAGGAAAAAGTCTTTCATAAAGTCGACAGGAATATGCGGTGGGAGTGTATGGGGGAAAAGGGAATAAGCAATCATCTCACTAATATTTGCAAAAGTCTGTACACATGTAGTAAATACTGCATAAGATCGAAGGCAGGGTTGTCAAGAACTTTTTTAGTGAACTCTGGTGTGTGTCAGGGCTGTGTACTATCACCGCTTCTTTTTATAACATACATGCATACCATATGTAAGGAAACAAACTTTAATTATGAAAAAGATATTACAGAATTACTATTCCCCAGGGACCAGGTACTCATAGCAAAAAGTACGGAATGCCTACAGAACCACCTAAATCAAATTAGTAACAAAGGGGAGGAATATAATATCAAAATAAACACTACAAAAGCAGAGACAATGGAGATAGGAAGACAGAAAGACAATTTAGAAATAAAATTAAAAAATTAAACCTTAAGACCTTTAGACAAAAAGAGGAATTTAAGTATTTGAGAGCTATCACTGCCAAACATGGACACTCACCTCTCCAATGAACGTAAAATTGTGACAACAGAGATGAAATGCCTTAGAAGAGCTGCAGGAGTTTCAAGGAAAGACAGAATACGAAATCAAGAAATTAGAAGAATGCTAGGAATAAAGCCAGTCTTACAGGTCATCAAAGAACAACAAATAAAATGGTTTGGACACCCAACAAGAATGCCCTGGTACTATCTGCCACAGTGAGCCACACTAAAACCGTTACCACAGCTATAGAGCGAGTGGAAGACCTAGGAAAATATGGAGTGATGGCATTAAGAACAGCCTTACAGAAAGGAACATCAGTCTTAATAGTGCTCTTGACAGAGCTCATCAACGTACATTATATCTTCCCCCGACACTTCGATGAGGTACAAGGTGGAAGAGAAGAAGAATAAGAAGAACCATTATAGGCACCTTACAGATTATGTTAATGGAAATCACATTACAGGTTGTAATGACACCATTCACATTACAGATTGTAATGACACCATTCACATTACAGATTGTAATGATACCATTCACATTACAGATTGTAATGACACAGTTCACAATACAGATTGTAACCACTTTCATCACCTTACAGATTATGATCATGATAGTCACATTATAAATTGTAATCACATAACAAATTGTAATGACATACATTTTCAGCCATGGACTTTCAGCCATGGACAGGTAGTGACTTGACATTTGATTGATGATAATATTCCAGGTCCCAGTTCCTGTGCACCTCCAGCTCCAAGTGCATCCCATTTTGGTGGGAGTGTGACGGGCATCCTGACTGTGAGGATGGCAGTGACGAGCCAGACTATTGTGGTATGTTGTGGTTTGTGAGCAGAATATTCTAGAACGAGTCTGAGAAAATGTCAGTCCAAGGCAGAAGTATGAACTAGTCAGCTTTACAGTATCACAATCATGAACAGTAAAATGAACATTGTGGCTGTAAAGCCTTTCTCAGCATTGGACACAATCGGGCAGTGATACCATTCTAAACAGGAATGTTGTTCGTTCATCTCGAGTGATGACCACTTTTCATCCAAAGTAGTAATGATTAATGATCAATAATTATGAGTACGAAGGTGGCTGATTAAAAACCTCACAGTGTCTATACCATTGCATTTCCATCTTTTCACTTTAGTTGGAAAAAAAATATTTTTTTAATAAAAAAAAGTTTGTTGTCACTAGTGTGCTGGGTATTTATACAGCGACTCCAGGTGATGCCAGTGTGTTGGAAAATGAGCAAGTAGATAGACTGGTTGGTTCTGCACCACTTGGTGGTGAAATGATGTATGACAAGCTAGATGTTGTGAGGGCCCTTTGGGAGCTGGTGAACAGTACCGATTAACAGATTGATCATTATAGTCTGAGGAGAATGGCACTGAGAGGAGTTACTAGGGGATCTGGCCGATGCTCGACACTCAGGGGAAAGGCGAGATGGATATACAGTCAGACAGTTACTGGTATCATCAGAATTTTATCTCTTTGCTTGCTGCTGAAGATGGGGATGGAGCGCTTTTGGGGGTGTCCTTAGTGCTGTGATATCAATTCTTAATTCAACATTCAACATTTTATACCTCGTCATTTGTGATATGGTCTCTGTATGATATGTGAAGAATTTTTATGAACGATATCATTTCCAATTCTTGTATCTTTTTGTGTTCAGCCGTTAAGGCCCACGCTTCACATTTTAGTAGACTTTATGTAGTCTGGCAAATCTCTGATTGCAGAAAAACGTTTCCCCAGATTTCAGCACTGCAGTTCACTTCAGTTCCTCTCTCTGATTGACATCTCTTTCCATTGCTTACTCCTAAGTGTTTGTAGGTCTGCCTGTATATTATCTCTTCATCATCTCCGCAAGCTCTGAAAGCGAGTACATCTAAAAGAGACAAATTCATATTAGAATTTTGTTTAGAATAGAGTCTACTACTATAAATCTTCGGGCCTATTAGAGATGCAAACAGCAGAGAATGAGAGGGAAAAGCAACAACAAAATGTATAATTTGTTTAAGTCACCTTTAATAGTTAGTATCAAGAGGGTTAATAGACTGTGATGATTGGTGCATATAGACAGAATGGCAGAAACAGAGATATGAAATTTGTGAACATAAGGTAGTTGAATGGGAGTAGACCAGGAGGTAGACCAAGAATACAGTGGAGAAATAATATACAGCCAGACCTACAAAAACTTGGAAGCAACAACTGGAAGGGAACCTCAAGGGCTTATAATGCTGAAATCTAAACAAGATGACAACATGAATATACAATAACACAAATACCAACATGAATACAGAACGTCACTTAACTTATGTCCAGGGAAATATACAATACCACAAATACCAACATGAATACAGAACGTCACTTAACTTATGTCCAGGGAAATATACAATACCACAAATACCAACATGAATACAGAACGTCACTTAACTGTGTCCAGGGAAATATACAATACCACAAATACCAACATGAATACAGAACATCACTTTACTGAAGTATGTCCAGGGAAATATACAATACCACAAATACCAACATGAATACAGAACGTCACTTAACTGAAGTATGTCCAGGGAAATATACAATACCACAAATACCAACATGAATATACAATAACACAAATACCAACATGAATACAGAACATCACTTTACTGAAGTATGTCCAGGGAAATATACAATACCACAAATACCAACATGAATACAGAACATCAATTAACTGAAGTATGTCCAGGGAAATCCACACGTCAGGCTGGCTAGTTGAATTGCTGACCCCTGACATTAAACACTAGCCAGAAACAATTTTTTCAGAGATTGGTGCTAGAGTTGCACCGGGGAAGACACTGGGACATCACCATGTAATAAACCCAAACATGGCTGTGGAAACAGTACAGTCATCATCCGTTGTGGAGGCTGCACACAATTTTTTTTTGTTGTTGTTATAAATAACGTATGGCAGGCAACCCAGCAGTAAGCAATAGTAGGCAGTATTAGTCTTTATTTTTTGTGTTTAATTTTTTGTTTTGTTGTTTTTGTTTTTAAATAAGCATAATTTTTTCAGCACTGCTATAATAGACACTTGGTGATGCAAACCGGCACCTTTTATTGTATATTCTGTGTTGAATACTAGCTCATTTTTCTCAAGAAAAAGACAAGAAGTCCTGAAGGAAACCTAACAGATTTCTTCCACAGATCGCTACCACTGTGTTCACCACGGCATGTTCCAGTGCAGCAATGCAACATCAGAGAAGGACTGCCTGCTGCCGACACACATCTGTGATGGTATCAAACACTGTGTCGACAACTCAGATGAGAGCATTTGTCGTAAGTCTGTCACTGTCTGCTCACCTCATCGCAGCATCCTTCTTCGTTGCTGCCTGTGCCTTTAAAAGGGTGGTTTACATGTTGTGGTTTACAGCTAGCTGTGATATTTGCACCTTTCAGCCCAGCATATCTGATTTTAGCAGACCTCCAATGTGGGGATGGGGGGTGGTAGTGAGTCTGTTCTCCTCCTCCCCACAAATGGGCCCTAGAACCCACACACAGATGACTTATTCCATGGTGTAGGAGACCATGTGGTGAAAATACTGTATGATTCTGTATCTGGTAATACTACACAACTGTGTTAAGTTGCATTTCTTTATAATACTGCAGAACTGTGTTAAGTTGCATTTCTTTATAATACTGCAGAACTGTGTTAAGTTGCATTTCTTTATAATACTGCAGAACTGTGTTAAGTTGCATTTCTTTATAATACTGCAGAACTGTGTTAAGTTGCATTTCTTTATAATACTGCAGAACTGTGTTAAGTTGCATTTCTTTATAATACTGCAGAACTGTGTTAAGTTGCATTTCTTTATAATACTGCAGAACTGTGTTAAGTTGCATTTCTTTATAATACTGCAGAACTGTGTTAAGTTGCATTTCTTTATAATGCTACAGAACTGTGTTAAGTTGCATTTCTTTATAATACTGCAGAACTATGTTAAGTTGCATTTCTTTATAATACTGCAGAACTGTGTTAAGTTGCATTTCTTTATAATACTGCAGAACTGTGTTAAGTTGCATTTCTTTATAATACTGCAGAACTGTGTTAAGTTGCATTTCTTTATAATACTGCAGAACTGTGTTAAGTTGCATTTCTTTATAATACTGCAGAACTGTGTTAAGTTGCATTTCTTTATAATACTGCAGAACTGTGTTAAGTTGCATTTCTTTATAATACTGCAGAACTGTGTTAAGTTGCATTTCTTTATAATGCTACAGAACTGTGTTAAGTTGCATTTCTTTATAATACTGCAGAACTATGTTAAGTTGCATTTCTTTATAATGCTGCAGAACTGTGCAGTGATGCAGTGTGATATAATTATACAATACTGTGAAATGTTTCAGCACTGTGTAGTGTTGCAGTACTGTGTAATGCTGCAGTACTGTGTAATGTTGCAGCATTGTGTAATGCTGCAGCACGTGTAATGTTTCAGGTTTCAGCACTGTGTAATGTTTCAGCACTGTGTAATGTTTCAGCATTGTGTAATGTTTCAGCACTGTGTAATGTTTCAGCATTGTGTAATGTTTCAGCATTGTGTAATGTTTCAGCATTGTGTAATGTTTCAGCACTGTGTAATGTTTCAGCACTGTGTAATGTTTCAGCACTGTGTAATGTTTCAGCACTGTGTAATGTTTCAGCACTGTGTAATGTTTCAGCACTGTGTAATGTTTCAGCACTGTGTAATGTTTCAGCACTGTGTAATGTTTCAGCACTGTGTTATGTTTCAGCACTGTGTAATGTTTCAGCACTGTGTAATGTTTCAGCACTGTGTAATGTTTCAGCATTGTGTAATGTTTCAGTACTGTGAAATATTCTAGGTAATCTTTTCCTTGGTTTTCATTTAAGAGTATTGTTGGATTAGTTTTTTATGTTATTATTCCTAAGTAATTTTATGGTTAAGTTGTATGTTACATTTAGAATTCTAAATAATAATATTGTCAAGCTATATGTTGTAGTTAGAATTCTGAGTAATGTTTTTTTTTTTTCTTCAAGTTATATGTTATAGTTAGAATTCTTAGGAGTGTTAGTAAATTATAGTTTGAATTTTGAGTAATGCTATTGTTAAGTAGCATGTTGTAATTAAAATTCTGAGTAACATTATTTTGTAAGGTAAAACTTTGTTGGCTGACAAAATAACTATAAACTTAGCCTTTGATCCCAGCGAGTTACACCTGTCTGGAGCACTACATCAAATGTCACGCCGACAACATTTGTATTCCCAAGATAAAACAGTGTGACGGAACAAACGACTGTTCCAACGGGGAAGACGAGCATGGATGCCGTAAGTCTCACAGCAGTGCTTTTTTTGTTGCTTTTGTAGTTGCAGAAGTTGAGTGGATGTTTGTATAAAATGTGTGTTTGAAGTTACAGTGGATCAGTGGATAATTCTATAAAAATTGTCTTTGTAGTTATAGAAGATGAGTGGATGTTTTTGTTCAAATTGGCTGTGTATTTACAAAAGATCAGTAGATGTTTGTGTACTAATTACCTGTATCGTTATGGAAGATCAGTGGATAATTCTATCAAAATTGCCTTTGTAGTTGCTGAAGATTATAAAAATTGTGTTGTTACAGGAGATGAATGTAAGAAGCTGTACAATATGTTTATCTCTCACATCATTGCTGCCAGGGATGCCTAAAGCATGTATACTGTGTATTTATGCATCATGTGCCACGAATGCATAAAGCATTTATTCTGTACTTGTATATTTATAAATCATGTGCCACAAAAATGCATAAAGCATTTATACACTATGTTTACACAGCGTAACAGCACAAATACAGCATAAAGCGTTTATCGTCATCATCCTTTATAAGTCAGTAGGGCTCATAGTCTAGTCCTCTTTTTCTGTTCTTTTCTTGGCAATTCATTCTGTATCATGGTTAGAATTCAGTCCAGACCCTTTGGCCTGTCTCATTATTTATTTTAGGGTTTCTTTTTGGCATCCTTCACTTCCTGAACTCTTTATTTCTCATTTTATTGCCTGTTTGGAGATTCTTTGCTGGTTTCTTCTCACAATAAAGCATTTATGCTATATGTTTATACCTCATGTTAGTAGCTGCTAAATATGCATCACGGATTTGTACCGTATGTTTATGCTTAATCATAGCTGTCAAAGAAGGTATATAGCTTTTAAGTGAATGTTTGCATCTCTTGGCACAGCTCCCATGAATACGTGTTCAAGCAGCCAGTTCCACTGCAATAACACACGCTGCATTCCCTATGTCTGGAAGTGCGACAATGATGATGACTGTGGCGATGGATCTGATGAGCCAATTACATGCAAAAGTGACATGTGCCGCAGCGCTGACTACTTTAAGTGCAGTAGAACCGGACAGTGCATTCCAGAGGTCAGTAGCAGAATCCATTGTGTTTTTTTGGTGATCAAAACAGTCATGTCAGTGTTGATAACCCAAGCTGGTGGGTGTTTATAAGTGTTGACTGTTGGGTGTTTATTAGTGTTGGTTGTTAGGCGTTTTTAAGTGTTGACTGTTGGGTGTTTAAAAGTGTTGACTGTAGGGTGCTCATAAGTGTTGACTGTTGGGTGTTTAAAAGTGTTGACTGTAGGGTGCTCATAAGTGTTGACTGTTGGGTGTTTATAAGTGTCGACTGTGGAGTGTTTCATACGTGTTGATTGTTTGGTGTTTATAAGTGTAAAAACACACAATCTTAACAACAGAGTTGAGATGTCCTAGACGGGCTGCAGGAGTAATCAGAAGAGATACAGTCATGAAGAAATTAGAAGAAGACTAGGAGTGAACCCATTATTTGGTTCATCAGAGAGCAACAGATTGTATGGTTTGGCCATCTGATGAGAAAGCCCTGGTACCAGCTGCCACAGGCAGTCGCTGTAAAGAAATATAATGGACACAGAGCAAGGGAAAGACCACACAAATAATGAACAACAGCATCAAAAACAGTCTTACAGAAATAAAGTCTAACATATTAAAAAAAATAGAAAGACAATACAGAAGACCCTTACCCCCACCACCCTCCCACCACCACCACCACTTTCCTGCCAGGGGGTAACTGGTGGAAAAGAAAAAGAAAATGATGCTGTTGTGACAGAGATGAAGGTGGCTTTGTCAGAGAGTTGTTTCTGTCAATCCTGGATGCTGTAGCTTGACGAGTAACTGTGCAATGATTACAACAACACAGTTAATAAAACATGGCTTCACATTTATTTAATACCTTTGCACAAGCTTGGCAAAGATCACCTTTTATAAGCAGCTACCAAATTATTAGCAGTATGCAAAACACCATTAGAAAACTGTTGGGGAAAAAAAAAGTTGCAAGAAAAATTACTCATAAATTAGAAGAGACTACCATCAACATTGGGAGGATATTGACCACACAGAGATACGTGGAGTAATGCTGCATGAAACTTAAGGAAGTTGGCCTCAAGAGCTGCAGGCACCCCTGTTTCATAATGGAAGCCGTGCTAGCTTTACAATTCTTAGCCATGCCTGCCCGTTCCCATGGATAAGCACAGGGCTCAAACTCACATCACTCTCCTACAGTGCTGTTCAAGCCATTGTCCCCCAACACTAGGATTCTGAGGCATACACAGAGTGAATGGCTGAATGTGTGTGGGCTGATTCTAATGCCACAACTAATAAATTACAATCTTTAACAACTGCTGTAACAGAATCTCCGTGAATAATTCCTACCCACACAAGAAAGCTACAAGACTAAATAACTTTGTCAAACACCGTACAATAAACTTACAGCTACAGCCTAATCGAAACACCCAGTTAACGGTCACTAAACTGGTCAGTAACACGCTATATTCTAAGTCAGTTGGTTATAAAGTCATCTGCATGGTCTCACCTTGAGTTCATGTTTGGGTCATCTCGTACGAGCACAACGATTCAACTTCATAATCACGTTGCCGACCTGGCATCTGACAGGCAGTTGAATACCTACTAGATCTTTCAGAAATAAACAGCAGGTTTGAAATGCACCAAGTGTGTGCCTACCACAAAATCACTGAGGTCTTTACACACCCACTGCACTGTGAACTAAATACACGTAAAGGCAACACGCATAAATGAGGCCAGTCTTTGTCGGGCCAGGCAGAGACAGTACCTCAACAAGTGATTTCTCTTCAAGACATAAACCATGGAGAGGAATGGATACCCATACCAAAATGATACAAACAGTACTTTGGTTTATCACCCTCATCAGACAGTGCCCTGATTTGGCGCCACCAACAGTTGATGCAGAAGTGAAATTGTTGGGGAGGAAACACGCTTCACAGGGAGATGCTGGTCTATATACAGATGGTTCTGTGATTTGTCAGAAGCGAAGTATATTGGCTTTGGCAGCAAGACCCAAAGAGAAAGTCATAAAAGAAGACAGTGGAGCCCTTGCCTCTACCACCAGCAACATGGCAATGGAGATCATGGCTGTGACAAAGACCCTAGAATAAGTTCAGGAGTTCACCAGTAATTCATGTTTGCTCAATGACTCAATGAATAAGCTACAGAAGATCAAGGTGAGGTACAAATGGAAACAGTGGCTCCATCTAACACAGAACATAGTGTTTTGCAGAATCACCTTCATTTTTGTCCCAGGGCATCTGGTGTGGAGGCAGAGAGAGCAGATGCTCTGGCTGGCAGTGCAACTATCAGGAATGGGCCTTCTGTGGACAGGAGACACATCCTCAGTGCCATTCGAGAGACTAAGTGCTGAATAGACTGCATACCCTGGGTGTAGAGAAGTGACATCAACCAGAAAAGAATGGGAATTGTTAGCCTAACAACACTTGGTGACATATTCAGGAGGGGATCGGAGCACTTATGGTCATGTCCAGTGTGCGATGAAGACGATCTCTTAATTGAACAATGAACTCTGTCACGCTAGATGTGAATGTTCACAATACCCTGATATAATTGATGTGAATGTTCACAATACCCTGATATGATTGATGTGAATGTTCACAATACCCTGCCATGATTGATGTGAATGTTCACAATACCCTGCCATGATTGATGTGAATGTTCACAATACTCTGAAATGATTGATGTGAATGTTCACAATACCCTGCCATGATTGATGTGAATGTTCACAATACCCTGATATAATTGATGTGAATGTTCACAATACCCTGATATGATTGATGTGGATGTTCACAATACCCTGCCATGATTGATGTGAATGTTCACAATACCCTGATATGATTGATGTGAATGTTCACAATACCCTGATATGATTGATGTGAATGTTCACAATACCCTGATATGATTGATGTGAATGTTCACAATACCCTGATATGATTGATGTAAATGTTCACAATACCCTGATATGATTGATGTGAATGTTCACAATACCCTGCCATGATTGATGTGAATGTTCACAATACCCTGCCATGATTGATGTGAATGTTCACAATACCCTGATATGATTGATGTGAATGTTCACAATACCCTGATATGATTGATGTGAATGTTCACAATACCCTGATATGATTGATGTAAATGTTCACAATACCCTGATATGATTGATGTGAATGTTCACAATACCCTGCCATGATTGATGTGAATGTTCACAATACCCTGCCATGATTGATGTGAATGTTCACAATACCCTGTCATGATTGATGTGAATGTTCACAATACCCTGCCACAATTTATGTGAATGTTCACAATACCCAGATGTGATTGATGTGAATGTTTACAATACACTTCCATGATTGATGTGAATGTTCACAATACCCTGCCATGATTGATGTGAATGTTCACAATACCCTGTCATGATTGATGTGAATGTTCACAATACCCTGCCATGATTGATGTGATTGTTCACAATACCCCGACATGATTGATGTGAATGTTCACAATACCCTGTCATGATTAATCTGAATGTTCACAATACCCTGCCATGATTGATGTGAATGTTCACAGTACTCAGATGTGATTGATGTGAGTGTTATGATAATTCACAAGACCTCTGTCATCCTGAGTACTCTGTCATGGTTTGTGTGAATGTTTATAATGTTTCTGTCAAACTTGGAAATGCTGTCATGACTGATGTAAGTTTACAATCTAATGGTGTACCAATCATTCTCCCCCCCCCCCCCCCCCCCCCCCCCCCCACCTTTCTACAGAGCTGGAAGTGTGATGGGGACCAAGATTGTGGAGAATCGGATAACTCGGATGAGGACCAAGTGGAGTGCCGTGAGTAAAGTTGTCTGCCAACATATATTTTTCTTTCTTTGTCTATGTCTGTCTTTTAAATGTCTACCATTCTAGCTGTCGACGTCTATCCGTCTGTCTGTCTATTAAATGTCTATCATTTTAGCTGTTGACGTCTATCCTTTCATCCAAGTCTGCTATAAAAATTGACAAATTGAGTGTGTTTCCTTCAGAGTTGGAGGGCCTCTGCCTGAGATGTGAGGAAACAACAGGCCTCATACAAATAAGATCTGTAAAACAGTTGTGCAGGCAAAACTCAAATTCCGGAAAAAGATTAAAGTCCAGATATAGACAGACAACCAGAACTTTCTACCTGAGATTACAGCCGGTGAACATGAAGAAATAGAAGCAGTTGTACTCCTCTCACCACCGACTGTTGACATTTGAGGTTGTGACAATGATGAACCAGTTTCAGGGCAGACTTTCTAGCAGAAAGTAACTGTCTGCTCACATTCTTTCTCCTGGGGCAGCCAGGAATATTGATGAATGAAGACTCTCTCTCTCTCTCTCTCTCTCTCTCTCTCTCTCTCTCTCTCTCTCTCTCTCTCTCTCTCTCTCTCTCTCTCTCTCTCTCTCTCTCTCTCTCTCTCTCTCTCTCTCTCTCTCTCTCTCTCTCTCTCTCTCTCTCTTTTTCTCTCTCTCTCTCACTCACTCACACACACACACACTCACTCACACACTGTGTCCCAAAAACGTTGAGACAAAGGAGTCAGAAACGATAAACCACCTCTTGGAAGTGGATACCAAATGAGGACAGGCATGCACAAACTGGTTACAGGGCAGATCAAGAAGATATGACAGTCAGCTGCTACTGGTACAGAGAGCACAAATACAGTGAGACAGCTGCTGCATTGTAGGACATGCATGAATTAGACATACCAATATGCTAGTATGTTAATGAGAAAAGGTTAGTTGCGAATCCTTTACAGGACGTTGCAGAACCAACCTCATCAGCCCCTGGCTGTTGTGTGGTTTCACTAGGCAAATTTATGTCCAGTAGTTTGCCATTGCTTTCTGGACGGTCGGCTCCCTGATACCACTGTCAAAACCAACTCAAGGCGTATGGCCCACAGCTGGGATCTAACCCGGTACCCTGGCATTAATAAGCGTTCGCATCGGCTTAGCCACAGAGCTGACTAATGAGAAAAACAAGTGATAATATATACTTACAGGGCTTTTATTTTTGTATGAAAAGATGCAAGTGAAGAAGTAAATAACGTAAAGGACCCTTTTCCAAGCCTTCATGCATTTTGAACATGTATGGCTCGTATATTTTATAGACCAAGCAGCAATTAACGTCACACCGACCGCCTTTACTTCCCAGGACTACACCCGGTACCCACTCAAGGCTGGGTTGACCTGGAAGTCAAGGTGATTTTTGAAGAAAGTCCGGCTCCATCACGATCCGAAGCTAAAACCTCTAACAGCTACAACAAAGCAGCTTCCAAAAAGATGCCAGTACTTGCCACAAAGTGTTAATTACAGTATTGCTGAAAATGATGCCCCCAAATGGTGATGGTACTGCACGCCACCGAAAAATAAAAAGCCCTATATGTATGATATCTACACGCACACACACATGAAACTATTTTATCTGTCTGTCTGTCTGTGTGTGTGTGTGTGTGCGCGCGCGTGCATGCATGCGTATATATATAGATATATATATATATATATATATATATATATATATATATATATATATATATATATATATATATATATATATATATATAAATATAGTTTCATAACAGCACATGTAATTGGGTCACCAGTTACCTTTGACTGTCTTATCAATTCCCTGACTTCTGTCCGTGTCAGATGTACTGTATGTTTTTATGCTTGAGGCGTGAAGTTTGTCTAGCACTGTTTAACCAGTACACCTATGGCATAAGGAGTGTTGTCATATTGTCTTATTTTATTTGTTTCTGTGTTTATCATCTCACAGACAGCCAAACCTGTGACCCCACCTTCTTTCGCTGCCAAAACTGGACATTGCATCCCCGGTCGCTGGCGTTGTGACTACTATGATGATTGTAGGGACGGCTCGGACGAAGAGGGCTGCAGTGAGTATTTGTCTTTTGTCACTAGATATTCTTCTTCTTCAGCATTCCGTGACCGTGGGGTTCATTGCTACAGATATCATACGCATACATTTATTTCTCTAGTTGGCCATCTCTTTCCAGTTGGCGACATCAAGTGTTTGCATGTCTATATATTATCTCTCAAGTGTCTTCTTGGTCTGCCAGGTGGTCTTTGACCATGCAGCTCCCTTGTGTCTACAGTTTTACCCCCCTGTCATCTAACATTATCTCTCTGACCATGTAGCTTCCTTGTGTCTACAGTTTTACCCCACTGTCCTCTAACATTATCTCTATGACCATGCAGCTCCCTTGTGTCGACAGTTTTACCCCCCTGTCCTCTAACATTATCTGTCTGACCATGTAGCTTCCTTGTGTCTACAGTTTTACCCCCCTGTCCTCTAACATTATCTCTATGATCATGCAGCTCCCTTGTGTCTACAGTTTTACCCCCCTGTCCTCTAACATTATCTCTCTGACCATGTAGTTCCCTTGTGTCTACAGTTTTACCCCCCTGTCCTCTAACATTATCTCTCTGACCATGTAGCTCCCTTGTGTCTACAGTTTTACCCCCCTGTACTCTAACATTATCTCTATGACCATGCAGCTCCCTTGTGTCTACAGTTTTACCCCCCTGTCCTCTAACATTATCTCTCTGACCATGTAGCTCCCTTGTGTCTACAGTTTTACCCCCCTGTCCTCTAACATTATCTCTCTGACCATGTAGCTCCCTTGTGTCTACAGTTTTACCCCCCTGTCCTCTAACATTATCTCTATGACCATGCAGCTCCCTTGTGTCTACAGTTTTACCCCCCTGTCCTCTAACATTATCTCTCTGACCATGTAGCTCCCTTGTGTCGACAGTTTTACCCCCCTGTCCTCTAACATTATCTCTATGACCATGTAGCTCCCTTGTGTCTACAGTTTTACCCCCCTGTCCTCTAACATTATCTCTATGACCATGTAGCTCCCTTCTGTCTACAGTTTTACCCCCCTGTCCTCTAACATTATCTCTATGACCATGTAGCTCCCTTGTGTCTACAGTTTTACCCCCCTGTCCTCTAACATTATCTCTATGACCATGTAGCTCCCTTGTGTCGACAGTTTTACCCCCCTGTCCTCTAACATTATCTCTCTGACCATGTAGCTCCCTTGTGTCGTGTCTACAGTTTTACCCCCCTGTCCTCTAACATTATCTCTATGACCATGTAGCTCCCTTGTGTCTACAGTTTTACCCCCCTGTCCTCTAACATTATCTCTATGACCATGCAGCTCCCTTGTGTCTACAGTTTTACCCCCCTGTCCTCTAAGATTATCTCTATATGCTGCAGCTATTTCAGTGTATTGTCGGCGTCTGAGGCTAAGGCATTACGCACGTGCTTCGTAATGCCGGGGTGCCGGATTCAATTCCAGCTGCAGGCCTCGCATTTTGCGTTGGTTTTGATATTGGTATCATAGTTTTATGTACACATACACACATATATGTATGTGGGGCGGGGGTGGGGGGGGGGAGTATTCTCTGTATCACTACCCACTTATATTATGATTTCCAGGATGATCACAAACTAGTGTGATTATTCCCATATCAGCACACATTTTAAAAATAATTCCTAATGTATGATTATTCCAAGTATTACCACACACACATGTATGATTTTTCACAGTTTGACCACAAACTAATATGATTATTTTCAGTATCACACCACATGTATGATTGATCCTAATATCACACCACATGTATGATTGATCCTAATATCACACCACATGTATGATTGATCCTAATATCACCCCACATGTATGATTGATCCTAATATCACACCACATGTATGATTGATCCTAATATCACCCCACAGGTATGATTATTCCTAATATCACCCCACAGGTATGATTATTCCTAATATCATCACACAGATATGATTATTCCTAATATCATCACACAGATATGATTGTTCCTAATATCAGCCCACAGGTATGATTATTCCTAATATCACCCCACAGATATGATTATTCCTAATATCACCCCACAGGTATGATTATTCCTAATATCACCCCACAGGTATGAGTATTCCCAACATCCCCACACTTGTGTCATCATTCTCAATAATACCACACTTGTATGATTATTTCCAGTATCACCCCACAGGTATGATTATTCCTAATATCACCCCACAGGTATGAGTATTCCTAATATCACCCCACAGGTATGAGTATTCCTAATATCATCCCACAGGTATGATTATTCCTAATATCACCCCACAGGTATGATTATTCCTAATATCACCCCACAGGTATGAGTATTCCTAATATCACCCCACAGGTATGAGTATTCCTAATATCATCCCACAGGTATGATTATTCCTAATATCACCCCACAGGTATGAGTATTCCTAATATCACCCCACAGGTATGATTATTCCTAATATCACCCCACAGGTATGATTATTCCTAATATCACCCCACAGGTATGATTATTCCCAATATCATCCCACAGGTATGATTATTCCTAATATCATCCCACAGGTATGATTATTCCTAATATCATCCCACAGGTATGATTATTCCTAATATCACCCCACAGGTATGATTATTCCTAATATCACCCCATTCATTCATTCATTCAGTAGCATGTCCCTCGCGGAACCTCGCTGCCATAACAACCCTCCGGAAAACCTTCCTATCCTGAGCAAGATGTCCTGCGTCTGATACACCCATCTGGAGATCATCTGCCACATCCTGCACCCATCTTCTCCTTGGCCTCCTCTTCCTCTCTTCCCAGGCATATACCCCTCCATTATTGTTCTCTCCAGACTTCCATGACGTTTCAAGTGACCAAAAATATTTCAATTTCTTTGTTTTATTGTCTTTATTAGCCAACCCTCTTCAATATTCAGCTCTTGAAGTATGGATGCATTTGTTCTTTTCTTTACCCAAGATATTCTTAGAACCTGTCTGTAACATTTATATTCAAATGCATTTATGCGCTGTTCCGCTAATATCACCCCACAGGTATGATTATTCCTAATATCACCCCACAGGTATGATTATTCCTAATATCACCCCACAGGTATGATTATTCCTAATATCACCCCACAGGTATGATTATTCCTAATATCACCCCACAGGTGTGAGTATTCCTAATATCATCCCACAGGTATGATTATTCCTAATATCACCCCACAGGTATGATTATTCCTAATATCACCCCACAGGTATGATTATTCCTAATATCATCCCACAGGTATGATTATTCCTAATATCACCCCACAGGTATGAGTATTCCTAATATCATCCCACAGGTATGATTGATCCTAATATCACCCCACAGGTATGATTGATCCTAATATCACCCCACAGGTATGAGTATTCCTAATATCATCCCACAGGTATGATTATTCCTAATATCATCCCACAGGTATGATTATTCCTAATATCACCCCACAGGTATGATTATTCCTAATATCACCCCACAGGTATGATTATTCCTAATATCACCCCACAGGTATGATTATTCCTAATATCACCCCACAGGTATGATTATTCCTAATATCACCCCACAGGTATGATTATTCCTAATATCATCCCACAGGTATGATTATTCCTAATATCACCCCACAGGTATGATTATTCCTAATATCACCCCACAGGTATGATTATTCCTAATATCACCCCACAGGTATGATTATTCCTAATATCATCCCACAGGTATGATTATTCCTAATATCATCTCACAGGTATGATTATTCCTAATATCACCCCACAGGTATGATTATTCCTAATATCACCCCACAGGTATGATTATTCCTAATATCACCCCACAGGTATGATTATTCCTAATATCACCCCACAGGTATGATTATTCCTAATATCACCCCACAGGTATGATTATTCCTAATATCACCCACAGGTATGATTATTCCTAATATCACACACACAGGTATGATTATTCCTAATATCACCCCACAGGTATGATTATTCCTAATATCACCCCACAGGTATGATTATTCCCAATATCATCCCACAGGTATGATTATTCCTAATATCACCCCACAGGTATGATTATTCCTAATATCATCTCACAGGTATGATTATTCCTAATATCACCCCACAGGTATGATTATTCCTAAAATCACCCCACAGGTATGATTATTCCTAATATCACCCCACAGGTATGATTATTCCTAATATCACCCCACAGGTATGATTATTCCTAATATCATCCCACAGGTATGATTATTCCTAATATCACCCCACAGGTATGATTATTCCTAATATCACCCCACAGGTATGATTATTCCTAATATCACCCCACAGGTATGATAATTCCTAATATCACCCCACAGGTATGATTATTCCTAATATCACCCCACAGGTATGATTATTCCTAATATCATCCCACAGGTATGATTATTCCTAATATCACCCCACAGGTATGATTATTCCTAATATCATCCCACAGGTATGATTATTCCTAATATCACCCCACAGGTATGATTATTCCCAACATCGCCACAATTGTATGATTATTCCCATTATGACTCCCACACCCATACTTTTCCTTGACCCTATAATCATAACTGCATTTAACCTAATAAGGATCATGTTAACACTTACAGCTGCCAGAAACTGTTCAGAATCTGAGTTCAGATGTCTCAGTGGCAAGTGCATACCTGGCAGGTTGCACTGTAATGGAGTCTTTGACTGTGTGGACCGGAGTGATGAGCTGGCTTGTAGTGAGTTTATGTCTTGTGTCTGCTTGTTGAGATGGCTTTATGTCTTGTGTCCACTTGTTGAGATGGCTTTTACTAAGTGTAGGTCTTGTGTCCCCTTGTTGAGATGGCTTTATGTCTTGTGTCCACTTGTTGAGATGGCTTGTAGTAGCTTGTAGTAGGTGTATGTCTTGTGTCCACTTGTTGAGATGGCTTGTAGTAAGTGTATGTCTTGTGTCCACTTGTTGAGATGGCTTATGGTAAGTTTATGTCTTGTGTCTGCTTGTTGAGATGGCTTGTAGTAAGTGTTTATCTTGTGTCCACTTGTTGAGATTGCCTGTAGTAGGTCTATGTTGTGTGTCCACTTGTTGAGATGGCTTGTAGTAAGTGTTTATCTTGTGTCCACTTGTTGAGATTGCCTGTAGTAGGTCTATGTTGTGTGTCCACTTGTTGAGATGGCTTGTAGTAAGTGTTTATCTTGTGTCCACTTGTTGAGATTGCCTGTAGTAGGTCTATGTTGTGTGTCCACTTGTTGAGATGGCTTGTAGTAAGTGTTTATCTTGTGTCCACTTGTTGAGATTGCCTGTAGTAGGTCTATGTTGTGTGTCCACTTGTTGAGATGGCTTGTAGTAAGTGTTTATCTTGTGTCCACTTGTTGAGATTGCCTGTAGTAGGTCTATGTTGTGTGTCCACTTGTTGAGATGGCTTGTAGTAAGTGTTTATCTTGTGTCCACTTGTTGAGATTGCTTGTAGTAGGTCTATGTTGTGTGTCCACTTGTTGAGATGGCTTGTAGTAAGTGTGTGTCTTGTGTCCACTTGTGTCTTGTGTCTTGTCACTGAGATTACTTTTCACCATCATCAGCAAGTGCCTTGCCAACTTGCCTAAGAATTTATGCCTTTCCACAGCCTGACATTTTCAGCAACATGTATCAGTTCCTGTGCTTATGCCCTTTTATGCTGAGACCAAAGTCTGTCAAAGATTGTCTTGTGTTGTCTTTCTCTGTCTCTTTTCCATAGCTTTTTCTATTGATGATAACATGTTCCAGTTTACTTCTTCTCATAACATGACCAAAACACTGTGACCTGCTCCTTCTGCTGTTTGTAATAAATTAGTTGCCTTCGAGCCCTCGCCTATTTCAGAACATATCTGGGTTGCTCTTTTTGGCTGTCCAAAGAATTCTAAGAATTTTTATGTGAATCTACGTCTCAGAGGCCTTAAGAAATAGTTTGGCCTGTGTATTAAAAATCCAGGATTCACAACCACAAGCTAAAACTGGTTCTTTATAGCATGCGAGAATTTTTTCCTAACCTCCAGTGATATGGAGTCATGCGGTGACGTTTAGTAAGCTTATGTCTAGTGCTCAGTCATTAATTTTACTTGTAGTAACATTTTACTGGTTGGTTGGGTGACTTGTTAGTAAGCTGGGTAATTGGTTAGTTATTTGAATGATTTGTTAATAAAATGATTGGTTTGTTAATTTATTAGTTGGGTAATTTAACGGTTGGTTGATTTGTTGTATGTTTGATTAGATGATTGGTAAATGGGGTGATTAGTTGGTTGGTGATTTGTTAGTTTGGCGATTGGTCGGTTGATTTATGTGATGTTCATGAGTATATTTACTTTACATCTGATTAGTTTGTGTTTATATGTTGTAAATGTTTTCATTGTCAACCTTCTGTTTAATATATGTTTATTACTTGTGTGGAATCTATATGTTGTCTGTATGTGTTTGTTACTTGTGTGGAATATATATGTTGTCTATATGTGTTTGTTACTTGTGTGGAATCTATATGTTGTCTATATGTGTTCATTACTTGCGTGGAATATATGTTGTCTATGTGTGTTTGTTACTTGTGTGGAATATATATGTCGTCTATATGTGTTCATTACTTGTGTGGAATATATATGTTGTCTATATGTGTTTGTTACTTGTGTGGAATATATATGTTGTCTATATGTGTTCATTACTTGTGTGGAATATATATGTTGTCTATATGTTCATTACTTGTGTGGAATATATATGTTGTCTATATGTGTTCATTACTTGTGTGGAATATATATGTTGTCTATATGTGTTTGTTACTTGTGTGGAATATATATGTTGTCTATATGTGTTCATTACTTGTGTGGAATATATATGTTGTCTATATGTGTTTGTTACTTGCGTGGAATATATATGTTGTCTATATCTGTTTGTTACTTGTGTGGAGTATATATGTGTTGTCTATATGTGTTCATTACTTGTGTGGAATATATATGTTGTTTATATGTGTTTATGACTTGTGTGGAATATATATGTTGTCTATATGTGTTCATTACTTGTGTGGAATCTATATGTTGTCTATATGTGTTCATTACTTGTGTGGAATATATATGTTGTCTATATGTGTTTATTACTTGTGTGGAATATGTATGTTGTCTGTATGTGTTTATTACTTCTGTAGAATGTATATGTTGTCTAGATGTGTTTGTTAGTTAATGCTGTATAAACATTCATTTTTTTAAATAAACACTGGGAGTCTGCAGCTGGAAGGAGAAAGCCAGACACAGAGAAGAATAGAGATATCTGTAGCAGTGAACCTCAAGGCTGGAAGAAGAAAGCCAGACACAGAGAAGAATAGAGATTTCTGTAGCAGTGAACCTCGAGGACTCAGAATGCTGAAGATGAATAAGATGTGTTTCTATTTGTTTCAGTGCTCTCTCTCTCTCTCTCTCTCTCTCTCTCTCTCTCTCTCTCTCTCTCTCTCTCTCTCTCTCTCTCTCTCTCTCTCTCTCTCTCTCTCTCTCTCTCTCTCTCTCTCTCTCTCTCTCATACACAAACACACACATACACACAAGTAGAGTTGGAGATCCACACACACACATACACATGCAGCATTAACATATGACACTGGTGTGTTTCAGATCCAAGATGTGACAATGCTACCCAATTCCAGTGTGACAAGATCCCCTTCTGTATACCCAAGAAGTGGCTGTGTGATGGAGACACTGACTGCGCTGATGGAACTGATGAGTGGGGTTGTAGTAAGTCTGTGCATGTCAGTAAACACACCACATTGAGCACATCAACATACAGTGTAGCATATATTAATTAGCTGAGCTGAACTGGGACAGCCCAAGGGTGACATGTATAAGTATTCATCTTTGACTGATCAGTTATGTTAGGCTGGTCCAAGGATGTCAGGAGCATAAAGATGTTGGGGTCATACAGATATTGGGGTCATAAAGATGGTTTATTTTTATATTAGGTTCATACAGATATTAGGTTGATAAAAATGTAAGGTTCATAAAAATATCAGGTTCATACAGGAATTGGGTTGATAAAGATATTGGGTTGATAAAAATATTGGGTTGATAAAAGTGTGGAGGTCATACAGTTTTTAATATAGTTATTGGGTTGATAATTACGTTGGATTCATATGGATGTTGGGTTCATACGGATGTTGAGGTCACACAAATTTTGAGTTCTTAAAGATATTTGATTCATATAGATGTTGGGTTCATAAAGATGTCGGATTGATGACAGTGCTGAGAGTATGTTAGGTTTTTACAGATGTCAGGTTCACACATATGCTAGGGTCATACAGATAATGGAGTCATACAGATATGGAGTCATACAGATATGGAGTCATACAGATGCTGGGGTTCATACAGATAATGGAGTCATACAGATATGGAGTCATACAGATATGGAGTCATACAGATGCTGGGGTTCATACAGATAATGGAGTCATACAGATAATGGAGTCCTACAGATGCTGGGGTCATACAGATGCTGTGATTCATACAGATGCTGGGGTCATACAGATGCTGGGGTCATACAGATGCTGGGGTTCATACAGATGCTGTGGTCATACAGATCCTGGGGTCATACTGATGCTGGGGTTCATACATATGTTGAGAACCTCTGCATCTTCAGTGTCTTGTATCCACCTTCTGGAAACTACATCCTCCAGCACCATTCTCTCACTCAAAGCCACCATGGTGGCTAACATAGCCAAAATAGCTCGGCTTTCAGGACAGCCTGAGCAAGTTGTGCCTCATATGTTCAGATCATGTAGGATGTCTGTGTTTTCTTCTTCTTGGTCCATGGTATTCAATGAGGTTTATGCATACACATGTCCTCAAATCCTATGCTATCATTGTGGAAGACTTTTCTTGACACGGGCAGGTCTTGCTAGTCACACTCGCCATCGCCATAGGCTGTGAGTCTCATGCCTCCTCATAGCGCAATATAACACTATCGTCTGGAAAGACGGAAAGGTGCCAATGAATGAATGATGCATACACATGTCTTGTCTAGTTGTGTGTTTAATGTGGGCATCAGAGGTATACCTAATGATGTTAACTCTCCACAGACCGTGAGTGTTCTGATGAAGAATTCAAATGCAACAACTCCTTATGTCAGCCAAAGCAGTGGCGCTGTGATGGTGATGATGATTGCGGTGATCATTCTGATGAAAGGGAGGAAGACTGCGGTGAGTCACACAGATCCTTTTGTGTGTGTGTATTTCAGTGTTGTCTCTGTCTATCTGATTGTTAAATGACTAGAAAGGTTTAGGCATTGTATCACCTGTCTATGGCTTAGGGGTTGTGGACACTGTTGGTAATTCTGAGATACCCAGTTTTTGATTTCAGCTGTGGGGAATTTGGCAGCATGTTGCAATGCATTGATTTCAACAAGATTATCAAGAGCTGACCATTCATTCAGAAAGCAGTGGCAAACTACTTAATGTAAAATTGTGTAGTAAAAACACACAGCTAACAAATGCTGTGTTGATTTGCACTGTCCTGTAAAGGATATGCATCTAACTTTAATGAGCAGAGGTGAATTAATTTTTTCCTGTCAGTCTTGCATTTTTCCATTTATACCATAGTTTTCTAGAACATCCCATAATAAATCTCTGTTCACTCTGTCAAAAATCTGTTCTTGATCTATAAAGGCAATGTTCATTTGGTGTCTTTGTTCTATTATCTTTTCGCTAATCTGCCTTAGGGCGAAAATAGCCTAGGTACACCGTCTTCTTTCATGAATCCGACTTTTGCTGGGCTCAGAATCGGTTCTACAACAGATCTAATTGGTTGTTATAGAATCTTGGCAAACATGTTACCTATGTGGCTTTAAAGGGAGATGTCTCCCTAATTGTTACAGTCTTCCTTATTGCCTTTTCTTTTCCATATTGGTACTATAATGGCTCTTTGCCAGTCTGTTGGTACAGTTCTTTCATTTCAGGCTTTCTTAAATAAATGAAGTAGCCAAGTGACGCTAGTTTCTCCACAGGCTTTTATTGCTTCAGCTGTAATTCCATCAACACCAGCAGCCTTATATTTTGGACTGCACCTGATTGCTTCTCTGACTTCTTGTTAAATTATTTCAGTGTATATCTGGGTGTGAATGGTACAGTTCCTTCTTTTTCTGTTATGTTCAAAAGAGTTTGAAAATATTCTTTCCATCTTTATAATTTACAGATGATGTATTTCACTTCTACCTTCTGCATGTAAACATCAAATGTTGTTGGCCACATTTAGATCTCACATGTATCTCCACAGCCAAACATGCGTGTCCTCCTGGCAGATTCCGGTGTAAGAACCACACTTGTATCTGGAACAGCATGTTGTGTAATGGTAAACGAGACTGCTCCGATGGAGAAGATGAAAACATCACCATGTGTACGTAGATTGTGTGAGATGCTGTTTTTGATACTTTAGAATGTGTAAATTAGTTTAGCTATGTTTTATGTAATGTATCTGTCGTAAAAATGCTCAAAATGCTACGGGGTGGACATGACATGTGATCTAGTAGCCACTGCATACTACAGTGCACAGTACAAGAGAAGGAATAACAAGACAGGACAAGAAGACCAAGATTCACAACTTGGCTTACTGGCTAGTCATCTGATTTCAGCAATGATGTGAGCATTATATTGATCAAATGCCAGTACCAGACTACTGAACTACACTTTTTTCTTGAGCAGATCTCCTTGGCAACATGATCAAGCTGTTTGCCTCACGCTCTGAATGTCCTGGGTTCATTTCACAGTGGTGCTGAACGGTTCATGTAAGCAATTTTTACAAACACCCCAGGGGATCTTTGCCGGAGCTATGGAGTTCATGCTTTTTGAGATTTTCTCAGCATGTGGCTAGCCATTTTCCTGAGAGAGTCCAGCCATATTGGATAAAACTGCAGCGAAGTCAATCCTTTAACCTTAAACTTCTATGTTCATCCTAGAATGTCATTGCATTTTGCCCATTTACAGCATACCTGCGATATTTTGCTACTTTTGGCCAACTGTTTCAGGCATTTATTGCCTGTTAGCTTTCCTGGACTGAACTACGCAACATCCAGTAAATACTGCAGTTGCTTTTGTCTTCTTCTTCTTCGCATTCACCAACTTTAAATTCTGGCATAAAGTTCTGGGTGTTTGTCCACTTCTGGACTTATGTCTTGGTTCCTTGCCTCTCAGGTAGATGCATTCCAACTTCAAAGGAAGCCCCCAGGTGGTCAACTCTTACGATATGCTTGTTGGGAAGGCAGTGGGTCTATTCTTGTTTTCCCCTCAGTGGGGTTCTGGAAACTACATAGGGAAAGTTGCTTTATGACTACTGTATCAGACATGTACCTAATCTAATCAAATGCTATGTCACTACCATAAAACACTGCTGTGTCCAGACATTGCCAGGCTGGACACAGCTCAGTTAACTCAAAAAACTGTTGAATAACAAGAGTGTCCATCTTACAGTCCTGGCTTTCCTCCTAAATTATTTTTACTTGCGTGGCCAACTAACATTCACCCTGGTGTTCCATTGATAATGCAAATAACAGTGAGTTTGTATGTTCTTCTGTTATTCTCTATCAATAATCACCATCGCTATGTATGTTTCTGTTATTTAGGTGCCGTTGTGAAAAACTGCTCACTTCCCAACTTTCTCTGTGAGTCACGGACACAGTGCTTGCACCCTAAACAAGTGTGTGACAGGATTCAAGACTGCACTGATGGCTCAGACGAAGACGGGGACTTTTGTGGTAAGTCTCCTATCTTTTGTACAGTGTCTGATAGTCTGTTGGGGAACTAGTGAGATAAGTGTCATCCATGGTGGGAGTCAGTCAGATGTTGAGTAGTACTCATTGTGGGAGTCAGTGATATGTTGAATAGCACTCATTGTGGGAGTCATTGATATGTTTAGTGGCACTCATTGTGGGAGTCTGTGATGTGTTGAGTGGCACTCATTGTGGGAGTCAGTGATGTGTTGAGTGGCACTCATTGTGGGAGTCAGTGATATGTTGAGTGGCACTCATTGTGGGAGTCAGTGATATGTTGAGTGGCACTCATTGTGGAAGTCAGTGATATGTTGAGTGGCTCTCATTGTGGGAGTCAGTGATATGTTGAGTGGAACTCATTGTAAGAGTCAGTGATGTGTTGAGTGGCACTCATTGTGGGAGTCAGTGATATGTTGAGTGGCACTCATTGTAAGAGTCAGTATGTGTTAAGTGGCACTCATTGTGGGAGTCAGTGATATGTTGAGTGGCACTCATTGTGGGAGTCATTGATATGTAGAGTTGCATTCATTGTAGGAGTCATTGATATGTTGAGTGGCACTCATTGTGGGAGTCATTGATATGTTGAGTGGCACTCATTGTAGGAGTCATTGATATGTTGAGTGGCACTCATTGTGGGAGTCATTGATATGTTGAGTGGCATTCATTGTAGGAGTCATTGATATGTTGAGTGGCACTCATTGTAGGAGTCATTGATATGTTGAGTGGCACTCATTGTAGGAGTCATTGATATGTTGAGTGGCACTCATTGTAGGAGTCATTGATATGTTGAGTGGCACTCATTGTGGGAGTCATTGATATGTTGAGTGGCATTCATTGTAGGAGTCATTGATATGTTGAGTGGCACTCATTGTAGGAGTCATTGATATGTTGAGTGGCACTCATTGTGGGAGTCATTGATATGTTGAGTTGCACTCATTGTGGGAGTCATTGCTATGTTGAGTGGATCTCATTGTAGGAATCTGAGATATTGTGTGTCACTCACTGAGAATCAATGATATCTGGAATGGCACACACAGTGGAAATCAGCACTTATTGAATGTAGTGACATTGATCATTTACAGAGCATACAATGCTGTATAACACTGTTTCATTTTATTGGTCAACACATGCTGTGTAGCAATGCTACATGTTTTATGGCCAGTACCTGCTGTGTAGAACTGTTACACGTTTTATGGTCAACACCTGCTGTGTAGAACTGTTACACGTTTTATGGTCAACACCTGCTGTGTAGTACTGTTACATGTTTTATGGCCAGTACCTGCTGTGTAGTACTGTTACATGTTTTATGGACAGTACCTGCTGTGTAGTACTGTTACATGTTTTATGGTCAACACCTGCTGTGTAGTACTGTTACATGTTTTATGGTCAACACCTGCTGTGTAGAACTGTTACATGTTTTATGGTCAACACCTGCTGTGTAGTACTGTTACATGTTTTATGGTCAACACCTGCTGTGTAGTACTGTTACATGTTTTATGGTCAACACCTGCTGTGTAGTACTGTTACATGTTTTATGGTCAATACCTGCTGTGTATGGGAAACTACCACATTACTATCCCAAGAAACTCATCATGGAAGCCCGAAAGCTGAAATATTTTGGTCATATCAAGCGTCAAGACGGATTGGAAAAAATTACAGCAGAGGGCATGGTACCAGGAAGGAGGGACAGGGGCGATTGACACAAAGATGGGCACAGGATATAAGTGACTCCTTGAGTGTGAAAGTACTTGAGGCGGGAGAACTGGCTAGAAACTGAGTTTCTTTCAGGCAGACTGTGATGAGAGGGACGTACTGCAAAGGACCTGCTACATGAGGATGATGACCTGCTGTGTAACACTGTTACATGTTTAATGGCGAATACCTACTAGGTAACACTGTTACATGTTTAATGGCCAACTTGTCTTGTCTTTTGTGTTAAATGGCATACTTTACTGCGTAACTCTGTTTAACAGCTCATTGACTTGTAACCCTTGAACTCTGACAGCTCATTGAATTGTAACCCTTGAACTCTGGTTAACAGCTCATTGACTTGTAACCCTTGAACTCTGTTTAACAGCTCATTGACTTGTAACCCTTGAACTCTGTTTAACAGCTCATTGACTTGTAACCCTTGAACTCTCTTTAACAGCTCATTGACTTGTAACCCTTGAACTCTCTTTAACAGCTCATTGACTTGTAACCCTTGAACTCTGTTTAAGAGCTCATTGACTTGTAACCCTTGAACTCTGTTTAACAGCTCATTGACTTGTAATCCTTGAACTCAGTTTAACAGCTCATTGACTTGTAACCCTTGTCCTCAGATACACTGAATGTCTCAAAGACAGACAGCTGTAAAATCTTCAATGGAGGCTGTCAGCACAACTGTACAGACACACCTTATGGGCCTCAGTGTCACTGTAAGAAGTACTTTCGCTTGAATGCGGATGGGCTTACCTGCTCAGGTATGTTTTAGTCCGGCTGAGTTGTGGTCTGTACTTTTGTTTGTGTGCAGAAATGTCTGATACTAATTCTCTGACAGTCCGATCACCCTGTACTTTACTGTTATCTGTCTCTCAGATCACCCTGTACTTTACTGTTATCTGTCTCTCCGATCACCCTGTACTTTACTGTTATCTGTCTCTCCGATCACCCTGTACTTTACTGTTATCTGTCTCTCCGATAACCCTGTACTTTACTGTTATCTGTCTCTCACTTCACCCTTTACTTTACTATTGTCTGTCTCTCCGATCACCCTGTACTTTACTGTTATCTGTCTCTCAGATCACCCTGTACTTTACTGTTATCTGTCTCTCCGATCACCCTGTACTTTACTGTTATCTGTCTCTCTGATAACCCTGTACTTTACTGTTATCTGTCTCTCCGATCACCCTGTACTTTACTGTTATCTGTCTCTCCGATCACCCTGTACTTTACTGTTATCTGTCTCTCCGATCACCCTGTACTTTACTGTTGTCTGTCTCTATACACAGCTGTACTAGGAAGTAACCGTGAAATAACTGAATCTAGTCACGGGAAGGTGTCCCCCCTCCATCTTCAGTCTTAGTTTTGTGTAAGTAGGGCAAGTTAAGAAGAATCTTTCCTCTGTCTTCAGGCCTAATTTAATGAATATGTAGCTAATAGTTATGAAGATTTCCCCCCTCCATCTTCAGGCTTAGTTTCTTGTAAGTAACGCAAGTTAAGAAGAATCTTCCCTCAGTCTTCGGGCTTAATTAAATGAATATGTAGCTAATAGTTATGAAGATTTCCTCCTTCCATTTTCAGGTTTAGTTTTATAGACATGTAGCTACAGTTAGGAAGATCCCCCCCCCCTTTTTTTTTTCTTCCCTCCTCCCCCCCCCCCCCCCCCACCTTTTCATGTTCAGGTTTAATTCTGTGTAAATCTTTCTAGTTATGAAGATGAGCTTCCTCTCTCTTCAGGCTTAGTTTAATGTACATGTAAGTTTTCTGCTGTATATGTTTTTGCTCTGTCTTTATTCCTTTAGCCTCTGGGTGTCAATGCAAGAACATTCTAATTATCAGTTTTTCTCAGTTTATATTCTGTCAAAGTCCGCAACTTTTCTTCACCATTTAATTCACTGAAGTTTACTTAGTTCTCTCACAATTCATGTGTGATTCTGTCATGCCATTTAAAAGTCATTCCCATGGTAAATGAGCAAAAGCAAATAAAACAATCATGTATCTCTGTTCCCTAGAAGAGCCGCAGTAGTGAAATCACTAGATGCTCACCAGCCCAGACACTTAGGGTTTGTTGTTTGCATTCCCTGGCTGTGCGCCGTGGCTGTTAGTCCCAGTTGTTCATCTATTTGAACTTTGGCTTTGTGTGAGGACTTAAGATCACTATATCTGTTTTACTGGCTTATTTTTGTGCGGTATGCTGTTCGTTGCCTCTCTGGCAGATATACTCAGACTTCAAAGGAAGTCAAAAAGTTAAAATCCCCATCAGGGCAAATTTTTAAAAATTCTTTTTTTTTAAAAGTAGACTTTGGCTTTCAGATCAACCCAGCCTATACTAGTTAACAGGTAATGTCCTGAGAAGTAAAGGCGGCCGGTATAATGTTAAGCACATCGCTAGTCAAGGTACAGTTTGTCTATACAAATATATAAGTCTAGCATGGTTGGCTCGATTGACCATGATATAACAGGTTGTTGTTTTAATACCTGAGTTCCCTGGCACCTACAGTAGGAGCTAACGGCATCACTGGCTTAAGTGTTGCAGATGCTCTTTATGATTACAAGGTGCTGGGTTTATTCTCAGCTGTGGTCAGTTTGGCAGCAGACCTCCTTGCATTCGTTTCAGCAGTCCTAACGAGAATTAACTGTTTAGAAAGCAGTGTTTGTGAAAGTGCCTAGTGAAATCATAAAACAGTTCAGAAATGTTGGCTGTGCAGTTTTCTGCACAGGATATGCAGCTTATATAAGAGACTGAAAACCAAACTAGAGAGACTATGATTATTTGTTTGTTGTGTGTGACTACCTGTTGTTTGTGCACTCACAGTGGACAACCCATGTGATCACCATGGCACCTGCTCCCAGAAGTGTCTCTTTGACAACAAGAACATGCATGTCCAGTGTCTGTGTACCAGCAGAGGATACACCCAAGTGGTCAACAACACCAGAGCTTGTGTGGCTAACGGTAGGTCTGCTGCTTGTGTGTGTGTGTGTGTCTGGGATAAAGTTTGGAGATAAGGTAATGTGTGTGTTTAAGTTTGTCTCAATGTGTGATTGTAGCCTTCTTTTTCTTAGCATCCACAACCTGTTAACTCCAGTGACAAGTTCTGTTCATCCACTTTTAGTCTTATTCCAGAAATTGAATTGTCCATGCACATCTGTTTTACAGATCTGCATATGTATATTCAGACTGTTAGTTGCTTGCCTCTCAGGAGATGCAATCCGACTTAGGAAGAAGAAAAAATCCCCAGTTAGTCACCATTAAAAACATGCTCAATATGGAGTCAGTTGCAACGCCCCCAACCCCCCCAGCCCTTTATCATAGGCGTAATCGTAGGTCTGGGCTTGTGTGTGTAATGGTAGGACTGGGCTTGTGTGTGTAATGGTAGGTCTGGGCTTGTCTGTAGTAGTAGGTCTGGGCTTGTGTGTAGTAGTAGGTCTGGGCTTGTGTGTGTAATGGTAGGTCTGGGCTTGTGTGTAGTAGTAGGTCTGGGCTTGTGTGTAGTAGTAGGTCTGGGCTTGTGTGTAGTAGTAGGTCTGGGCTTGTGTGTGTAATGGTAGGTCTGGGCTTGTGTGTAGTAGTAGGTCTGGGCTTGTGTGTAGTAGTAGGTCTGGGCTTGTGTGTGTAATGGTAGGTCTGGGCTTGAGTGTGTAATGGTAGGTCTGGGCTTGTGTGTAGTAGTAGGTCTGGGCTTGTGTGTTGGTAATGGTAGGTCTGGGCTTGAGTGTGTAATGGTAGGTCTGGGCTTGTGTGTAGTAGTAGGTCTGGGCTTGTGTGTGTAATGGTAGGTCTGGGCTTGTGTGTGTAATGGTAGGTCTGGGCTTGTTTGTATGTATTGGTAGGTCTGGGCTTGTGTGTAGTAGTAGGTCTGGGCTTGTGTGTGTAATGGTAGGTCTGGGCTTGTGTGTGTAATGGTAGGTCTGGGCTTGTGTGTGTAATGGTAGGTCTGGGCTTGTGTGTGTAATGGTAGGTCTGGGCTTGTTTGTATGTATTGATAGGTCTGGGCTTGTGTGTGTAATGATAGGTCTGGGCTTGTGTGTGTGTAATGGTAGGTCTGGGCTTGTGTGTGTGTAATGGTAGGTCTGGGCTTGTGTGTAGTAGTAGGTCTGGGCTTGTGTGTGTAATGGTAGGTCTAGGCTTGTGTGTATGTAATGGTAATTCTGGACTTGTGTGTGTAATGGTAGGTCTGGGCCTGTGTGTGTAATTATAGGTCTGGGTCTGTGTGTGTAATGGTAGGTCTGAGCTTGTGTGTGTAATGGTAGGTCTGGGCTTGTGTGTGTGTAATTGTAGGTCTGGGCTTGTGTGTGTGTAATGGTAGGTCTGGGCTTGTGTGTCTAATGGTAGGTCTGGGCTTGTGTGTGTGTAATGGTAGGTCTGGGCTTGTGTGTGTGTAATGATAGGTCTGGGCTTGTGTGTGTAATGATAGGTCTGGGCTTGTGTGTGTGTAATGGTAGGTCTGGGCTTGTGTGTGTGTAATGATAGGTTTGAGCTTGTGTGTGTGTAATGATAGGTCTGGGCTTGTGTGTGTGTAATGATAGGTCTGGGCTTGTGTGTGTGTAATGGTAGGTCTGGGCTTGTGTGTGTGTAATGGTAGGTTTGGGCTTGTGTGTGTGTAATGGTAGGTTTGGGCTTGTGTGTGTGTAATGGTAGGTTTGGGCTTGTGTGTGTGTAATGGTAGGTCTGGGCTTGTGTGTGTGTAATGGTAGGTCTGGGCTTGTGTGTGTGTAATGGTAGGTCTGGGCTTGTGTGTGTGTAATGGTAGGTCTGGGCTTGTGTGTGTGTAATGGTAGGTCTGGGCTTGTGTGTGTGTAATGGTAGGTCTGGGCTTGTGTGTGTGTAATGGTAGGTCTAGGCTTGTGTATGTAATGGTAGGTCTAGGCTTGTGTATGTAATGGTAGGTCTAGGCTTGTGTGTGTAATGGTAGGTCTGGGCTTGTGTGTGTGTAATGGTAGGTCTGGGCATGTGTGTGTGTAATGGTAGGTTTGGGCTTGTGTGTGTGTAATGGTAGGTCTGGGCTTGTGTGTGTAATGATAGGTCAGGGCTTTTGTGTTTGTAATGGTAGGTCTGGGCTTGCGTGTGTGTAATGGTAGGTCTGGGCTTGCGTGTGTGTAATGGTAGGTCTGGGCTTGTGTGTGTGTAATGGTAGGTCTGAGCTTGTGTGTGTGTAATGGTAGGTCTGGGCTTGTGTGTGTGTAATGGTAGGTCTGGGCTTGTGTGTGTAATGGTAGGTCTGGGCTTGTGTGTATGTAATGGTAGGTCTGGGCTTGTGTGTGTGTAATGGTAGGTCTGGGCTTGTGTGTGTGTGTGTAATGGTAGGTCTGGGCTTGTGTGTGTGTAATGGTAGGTCTGAGCTTGTGTGTGTGTAATGGTAGGTCTGGACTTGTGTGTGTGTAATGGTAGGTCTGGACTTGTGTGTGTGTAATGGTAGGTCTGGGCTTGTGTGTGTGTAATGGTAGGTCTGGGCTTGTGTGTGTGTAATGGTAGGTCTGGGCTTGTGTGTGTGTAATGGTAGGTCTGGGCTTGTGTGTGTGTAATGGTAGGTCTGGACTTGTGTGTGTGTAATGGTAGGTCTGGACTTGTGTGTGTGTAATGGTAGGTCTAGGCTTGTGTATGTAATGGTAGGTCTGGGCTTGTGTGTGTGTAATGGTAGGTCTAGGCTTGTGTATGTAATGGTAGGTCTGGGCTTGTGTGTGTGTAATGGTAGGTCTGGACTTGTGTGTGTGTAATGGTAGGTCTAGGCTTGTGTATGTAATGGTAGGTCTGGGCTTGTGTGTGTGTAATGGTAGGTCTAGGCTTGTGTATGTAATGGTAGGTCTAGGCTTGTGTATGTAATGGTAGGTCTGGGCTTGTGTGTGTAATGGTAGGTCTGGGCTTGTGTATGTAATGGTAGTCCTGGGCTTGTGTGTGTAATGGTAGGTCTGGGCTTGTGTGTGTGTAATGGTAGGTCTGGGCTTGTGTGTGTGTAATGGTAGGTCTGGGCTTGTGTGTGTGTAATGGTAGGTCTGGGCTTGTGTATGTAATGGTAGGTCTAGGCTTGTGTATGTAATGGTAGGTCTAGGCTTGTGTATGTAATGGTAGTCCTGGGCTTGTGTGTGTAATGGTAGGTCTGGGCTTGTGTGTGTGTAATGGTAGGTCTGGGCTTCCGTATGTAATGGTAGGTCTAGGCTTGTGTGTGGGTAATGGTAGGTCTGGGCTTATGTGTGTGTGTAATGGTAGGTCTGGGCTTGTGTGTGTGTGTAATTGTAGGTCTGGGTTTGTGTGTGTGTAATGGTAGGTCTGGGCTTGTGTGTGTGTGTAATGGTAGGTCTGGGCTTGTGTGTCTGTAATGGTAGGTCTGGGCTTGTGTGTCTAATGGTAGGTCTGGGTTTATGTGTGTGTAATGGTAGGTCTGGGTTTGTGTGTGTGTAATGGTAGGTCTGGGCTTGTGTGTGTGTGTGTGTAATGGTAGGTCTGGGCTTGTGTGTATGTAATGGTAGGTCTGGGCTTGTGTATGTATGTGTGTATTTGTGTGGAAGGAGTGTGGGGATAAGATAATATTTTTTGCTTGAAGGTTTTGGCTGAAATCTTTGTCAGTGATTGCTTCTATGCCTGAAAATTTCTATGACTAAAACAGTGTGCCTGAAACATTCTCTGATCGAATAGGCTCTTGTCTTCTTCTGAGATTGCCCTAAAAAGGGCAGTTAGTTTGTGTTATTGTGGTGTTCAGCTTGGCTGTGATATCTGTGTCTTTTGCAAAGCATGATTTCAGCAAATCCTCACCTATCACCTTTTCTTATTCGCTTCTTAAGTAGCCCCCCCCCCCCCCCCCCCCCCCCCATGGGGCCTCAGAACCTGCAGAAAGTACAAAGGTTCTGACACTAAAAATTTTCTCTGACTGAAATGTTCTTTGACTAAAATATTCTGTGCCTGAAAGTTTCTCAAACCAAAAAGTTCTTTGACTAAAATGTTTTATGCGTGAAAGTTTCTCTGGCTGAAAAGTTCAATGACTTAGAAGATTCCGAGACTAAAAATAAAGATAAAAAATAAAAGCTATACATGACTGAAAGAGTTCTGTGACTGACAAGGTCTATGACTGAAAGAGTTCTGTGACTGACAAGGTCTATGCCTGAAATAGTTCTATGACTTAAAAGTTTATGTGAATGGTTTTACAGAGGACAGAGAGAGAGAGAGAAAGAGTTATTGATTTTTTTTTTTTTAAAGTACAAAGAAACAGTGAACAAACAAACTTTAGTTTTAAAGGGTTGCTGCAAATGGAGCCTCTTCCAAACACTTCTCTTTGCACACAGCAATTGTATTTTATTGTTAAATCATGTTCATATAGCAATATGCATAAAATAGATGGCAAGTAAAAACACAAAAGCATGAATGGCAAACACATACTTTCAAACATGCAAACATACATACATTCTCACATACATCCATACACACACATAAATACACAGGCATGCACACAGGCACACACTCACACACACACACACACACACACACAGACACACACTTTTAAAAACATTTTTTTTAAACAGATACAAACATGCACTCACAATCATACATGAGAAAAATACACACTTTCAGAGAGAGAAAGAGAATAAAAAATAAATCTGAGCGATGGATAGGTGTGATGTCCAGCTGTTTCTGCACTGGCCACAAAGACAATCGTGATCTCTGTCCACAGGTGAAGAGGCTCAAATGCTGATTGCAGAAAAGAACAACCTGATCATGAGAAGGCAGCTCCACAGAAATGAAACAGAGACTGTAACTTTGCCACCTGTGGAGGTCAGTGTCTCTGCCATTGAGTCTAGTCTGCTACCCATCCTGCTGGCTGCACACATGTCATTTGTCTAGTCTGCCAGTCATCTTGCTGGCTGCACACATGTCATTTGTCTTGTCTGCCAGTCATCCTGCTGGCTGCACACATGTCATTTGTCTTGTCTGCCAGTCATCCTGCTGGCTGCACACATGTCATTTGTCTAGTCTGCTACTCATCCTGCTGGTTGCACACATGTCATTTGTCTAGTCTGCCAGTCATCCTGCTGGCTGCACACATGTCATTTGTCTAGTCTGCCAGTCATCCTGCTGGCTGCACACATGTCATTTGTCTAGTCTGCCACCCATGCTGCTGTCTGTTTTTTAAAATTTTATATATGGGCAGCCAAAAAAAACAAACTACAAAAAATTGCATAACAAATTGTTCTACAAACACTTTACATCAGCATTTAGCATAGGGTGATCTTTATTAAGTAACAACAGTTGAACCATTTTATGATATACACACGTTTTGATGACCAAGATCACATGGTTGACAGCCAGGTTCATGTTGCCTGTTTGTGTCTCAGAATGACAGTATGGTCAGCCAGGTGCTGGCAGTTGATGTTGACATTTCCAAGGGCATAGTGTTCTTCATCAACCAGACAGGCTCAGAGCATTTATTGATGAGATCGCAGCTGGTCTTAAAGAGCCCCAATGGAAGGATGAAACGTCAGACAAGCCAGAAACCAGCTGTGAGTATTTGTTGCAAGTTTGTTTGTTAGTTAGAGTTAACTAGCTGTGAGTATTTGTTGCAAGTTTGTTTGTTTGTGCTCACCAGCTGTGAGTATTTGTTGCAAGTTTGTTTGTGTGTGTTTACCAGCTGTGAGTATTTGCTGCAAGTTTGTTTGTTTGTGTTTACCAGCTGTGAGTATTTGTTGCAAGTTTGTTTGTTTGTGTTCACCAGCTGTGAGTATTTGTTGCAAGTTTGTTTGTGTGTGTTTACCAGCTGTGAGTATTTGCTGCAAGTTTGTTTGTTTGTGTTCACCAGCTGTGAGTATTTGTTGCAAGTTTGTTTGTGTGTGTTCACCAGCTGTGAGTATTTGCTGCAAGTTTGTTTGTTTGTGTTCACCAGCTGTGAGTATTTGCTTTGCAAGCTTTGAGTTTGTGTTTGTTTGGTTCACCAGCTGTGAGTATTTGCTGCAAGTTTGTTTGTGTGTGTTCACCAGCTGTGAGTATTTGCTGCAAGTTTGTGTGTGTGTTTCACCAGCTTGTGTGTTTGCTGCAAGTTTGTTTGTGCTCACCAGCTGTGAGTGTTTGCTGCAAGTTTATTTGTTTGTGTTCACCAGCTGTGAGTATTTGCTGCAAGTTTGGTTGCTTGTGTTCACCAGCTGTGAGTGTTTGCTGCAAGTTTGTTTGTTTGTGTTCACCAGCTTTGAGTATTTGCTGCAAGTTTGGTTGCTTGTGTTCACCAGCTGTGAGTGTTTGCTGCAAGTTTGTTTGTGTGTGTTCACCAGCTGTGAGTATTTGCTGCAAGTTTATTTGTGTGTGTTCACCAGCTGTGAGTGTTTGCTGCAAGTTTGTTTGTTTGTGCTCACCAGCTGTGAGTGTTTGCTGCAAGTTTGTTTGTGCTCACCAGCTGTGAGTATTTGCTGCAAGTTTGTTTGTTTGTGCTCACCAGCTGTGGGTGTTTGCTGCAAGTTTGTTTGTTTGTGTTCACCAGCTGTGAGTATTTGCTGCAAGTTTATTTGTGTGTGTTCACCAGCTGTGAGTGTTTGCTGCAAGTTTGTTTGTTTGTGCTCACCAGCTGTGAGTATTTGCTGCAAGTTTGTTTGTTTGTGTTCACCAGCTGTGAGTATTTGCTGCAAGTTTGGTTGAGTGTGTTCACCAGCTGTGAGTATTTGCTGCAAGTTTGTTTGTTTGTGTTCACCAGCTGTGAGTATTTGCTGCAAGTTTATTTGTGTGTGTTCGACAGCTGTGAGTGTTTGCTGCAAGTTTGTTTGTTTGTGTTCACCAGCTTTGAGTATTTTCTGCAAGTTTGTTTGTGTTCACCAGCTGTGAGTATTTGCTACAAGTTTGTTTGTGTTCACCAGTTGTGAGTATTTGCTGCAAGTTTGTTTGTTTGTGTTCACCAGCTGTGAGTATTTGCTGCAAGTTTGTTTGTTTGTGTTCACCAGCTGTGAGTATTTGCTGCAAGTTTGTTTGTTTGTGTTCACCAGCTGTGAGTATTTGCTGCAAGTTTGTTTGTTTGTGTTCACCAGCTGTGAGTATTTGCTGCAAGTTTGTTTGTTTGTATTCACCAGCTGTGAGTATTTGCTGCAAGTTTGTTTGTTTGTGTTCACCAGCTGTGAGTATTTGCTGCAAGTTTGTTTGTTTGTGTTCACCAGTTGTGAGTATTTGCTGCAAGTTTGTTTGTGTTCACCAGCTGTGAGTATTTGCTGCAAGTTTGTTTGTGTTCACCAGCTGTGAGTATTTGCTGCAAGATTGTTTGTTTGATTTCACCAGCTGTGAGTATTTGCTGCAAGATTGTTTGTTTGATTTCACCAGCTGTGAACTTACGCACAAAGTTCTGGTTATTCGTCTGTTTCTGAACTGTGGCTTGGTTCGAGGATCTGAGTTGTGCGTGTGCTTCTGTTTTACATTGCTGCAGTCAGCTTTCCTGTAGCTGTCTGTCAAGTAGATGCATGCTGGAAAACAATGCAGAGGCAGACCTTTGCAAAGGTGAATGCAAGACATTGAAGATGCACGGCTAGGTGCAGTTAGGGACACAAAATAAACATACCTCAACGATGGAAACAAAGATATAGTAGAGGGTGGGAAAATAAAAAACGTTTTCCCTATCCTCGGCGATGTCAAGAAAATAAATCTAGTTTGTTCATTAAGTTCCTGTCATTGAAAGCTAGAGAAATTATTCTTGCTTGTTACCTAGAAGCAAACAGCTGCTTACAGCTGTGAATCATGGATAGTTAGTAAACTTTGTTGAACCTGTTTATTTATTTATGGTTTGGTTGTTGTTTATTTTATTATTTTAAACAAAGAAGACACAAACAATAGATTTGCACAATTTATTGCCTAGCATATTTCGCAGTATCTTGTCAGGTGCTTCAAATCAATGAAACCTTCAAACTGAAACACAAAATCGACTATATTTACACATTGTCAGTTTCACCAAGGTAACCACAAAGTGACGAGCATTTCCTTCTATGGGAAAGTTCTGGATTAAACTGGCTAATCGCTGAAACTTCTGCGTATAAAAGATGGTAAAGTCCCTAAGGACATTCTTTTTTGTGAAACACAGATGGGTAGACGTAGAGCAAGAGGTAGATCAAGAACAAGATAAGAAGATAACATCAGAGAAACTCTACAGTATATGGTCGAAGCAGCCAGAAGAGCACGAAAGCAGGACCTTATATCTCCCTTGACACCCGAAGCGGTAAAATAGTACGTAAAGAAGACAGAGGGGCAGAACACACTCAGAGGAGATAACATGGAGAATTCTTAAGGACATTTATGGTGAATTTCAGATGAGTACAAAATGTTAAGGTCAGCTTGCCAAAGTGTAAATAATGACAAATGCATCATCCTTGTTTACGATGTGCCCAGAATTTAGAAGAAAGAACGCTATTGCTGATATTGAATTTTGTACGACTAGTCACCTGATTCGTTGTTGCTGAGATGTTGTTGGTGTTTTGCATTGTTTTTACCACCCATAGTGGAAAATGTTCAGCAACCCGTTTGTCCAGTCGTCGATCAGTTCTGCCCACATATGCAGCGTTACAGGTGCATTTAAATTAGTAAATACGATTAGATTTGGCGTACATCGACACTGGTTTTTTCCACTGGTGGCGCAGGAATTACGGTGGTTTTAAATCTGATAACAGACAAGACTATGTACAAAGTTTGACTGACTGCTGTTTTTGAGCCTGTCATATTTTATTATTTATAAATATTATATATTAATTTTTTTTTTTTGATAATTCTTTTTCCACTTAAATCTTCAACACATTTTCTGTGTTGTTTTATTTTAAACAGATGGATATTCAGGTGGGTATTTGGTGGATTGATGGTTGTTTGTTATGATTAGGCACTTGATGCTGTTCTCTTCGATGTGCTAGCTAGATCAGTCTTTCCCATAAAGGGATCCATGGACCCCAGTGGGCCATGGAAAAAATTTAAGAGGTCTGTGGAATCATTGGGGGAGGGTGGGGGAGGGGGGGGGGTCAACTTTAGAATACAATCTTTTTTGTGATTTTATTTTTTGTAAATTATTAGTAAGTATTCAGAAAGTTAAAGTATTCAGAAAGTAATGTCCTAAATTTTGTTTTTTTTTCTTAGCAAAAAATGATCATTCTGTCTTTTGTTGTGTTGACCATACTGTAAAGCCTTGTAGCAAGGAGTTAGATGTATTTTCTTCTCTTTTGCTAGTTGCATAGCTTCTGTTAATGTCCACAAAATTGCTAGTGCCCTACTGAGAGTATCACACAAAGCATGAACTCTGTAGCCCCAGCAGTGATCCTTTTAGTAGATCTCTCAATGTTGAATTAAGAATCGATATCACAGCACCTGGTACATTCCCATAAGCGCTCCTTCCCCATGTTAAGCAGCAATTGCAGAAGTTCTATTCGGATGGTACCGGTAACAGTCTGATTGTATGTTCATCTTGCCTTTCTCTTGAATGTTGAGCATTGGCCAGATCCCCTGATCACTGGCGGCAAGATCTTTCTTCTCAGACTTAGTCTTAGTCAAGGTTTCAGCTTCATAGTCTTAGTCAAGGTTTCAGCTTCATGGTCTTAGTCAAGGTTTCAGCTTCATAGTCTTAGTCAAGGTTTCAGCTTCATTGTCTTAGTCAAGGTTTCAGCTTCATGGTCTTAGTCAAGGTTTCAGCTTCATTGTCTTAGTCAAGGTTTCAGCTTCATTGTCTTAGTCAAGGTTTCAGCTTCATGGTCTTAGTCAAGGTTTCAGCTTCATTGTCTTAGTCAAGGTTTCAGCTTCATTGTCTTAGTCAAGGTTTCAGCTTCATTGTCTTAGTCAAGGTTTCAGCTTCATGGTCTTAGTCAAGGTTTCAGCTTCATGGTCTTAGTCAAGGTTTCAGCTTCATGGTCTTAGTCAAGGTTTCAGCTTCATGGTCTTAGTCAAGGTTTCAGCTTCATTGTCTTAGTCAAGGTTTCAGCTTCATTGTCTTAGTCAAGGTTTCAGCTTCATGGTCTTAGTCAAGGTTTCAGCTTCATTGTCTTAGTCAAGGTTTCAGCTTCATTGTCTTAGTCAAGGTTTCAGCTTCATGGTCTTAGTCAAGGTTTCAGCTTCATGGTCTTAGTCAAGGTTTCAGCTTCATGGTCTTAGTCAAGGTTTCAGCTTCATAGTCTTAGTCAAGGTTTCAGCTTCATAGTCTTAGTCAAGGTTTCAGCTTCATAGTCTTAGTCAAGGTTTCAGCTTCATGGTCTTAGTCAAGGTTTCAGCTTCATTGTCTTAGTCAAGGTTTCAGCTTCATGGTCTTAGTCAAGGTTTCAGCTTCATAGTCTTAGTCAAGGTTTCAGCTTCATTGTCTTAGTCAAGGTTTCAGCTTCATGGTCTTAGTCAAGGTTTCAGCTTCATGGTCTTAGTCAAGGTTTCAGCTTCATTGTCTTAGTCAAGGTTTCAGCTTCATTGTCTTAGTCAAGGTTTCAGCTTCATGGTCTTAGTCAAGGTTTCAGCTTCATGGTCTTAGTCAAGGTTTCAGCTTCATTGTCTTAGTCAAGGTTTCAGCTTCATGGTCTTAGTCAAGGTTTCAGCTTCATGGTCTTAGTCAAGGTTTCAGCTTCATGGTCTTAGTCAAGGTTTCAGCTTCATAGTCTTAGTCAAGGTTTCAGCTTCATAGTCTTAGTAAAGGTTTCAGCTTCATAGTCTTAGTCAAGGTTTCAGCTTCATGGTCTTAGTCAAGGTTTCAGCTTCATTGTCTTAGTCAAGGTTTCAGCTTCATGGTCTTAGTCTAGGTTTCAGCTTCATGGTCTTAGTCAAGGTTTCAGCTTCATAGTCTTAGTCAAGGTTTCAGCTTTATTGCAGTCAGGTCGCCCTATTCTTGCTCTGTTCCTGGGACAGTGAAAATCTCTCATTGCAGTCAGGTCGCCCTATTCTTGCTCTGTTCCTGTGCTAGTGAAAATCTCATCAAATTGCCTCACTGTCCAATTTGAAAAACCGGTAAATAAACATTTGTCCCGGCCAAACCAGATATATGCCCGTGCATATTCTGCTGAGAATATTATGATCTAATTGTTCCTGCACACTGTTGGCTCGTTTGCAAAGGACCCTTGCAACATCTAGCTTGTCATGCATCATTTTCTGGCGCAGAACCAGCCAGTCTATCTGCATGTTCATTTCCCAGCATATTAGCATGACCTGGTGAAAATATCCAAATGTCACCAACTACCCATGGTCTCTGAAGCAATAGCCACTCTGCACAGAGCGTACCTGTCTCCACCTTTCTCCACATGCTCTCTGTGAGTCGGTTATAATTATGACATGTGTACACAGCTGGCTCTCAAGCCAGTGGAAGGCTGCTCTCAAGGATCTCTGTAAGAATGTTTCTCATTAACTGAACGACTCATTGATTAAATTAACCCAAGACCTTGAGAGCATGAAGCAGATGGTTTGACAACTCTGCCACAGAAATGCCTGACCTAAAGAATGTCCATGCCAGGCTTTGTAGTGTGGTTGTTGCTCTGTGTTGATCTGGTAGTGATCATGTCCCACTCACTCATATGGTAGATGCATGCCTATTTGTGTGTATTTGTTGTAATTTCCTTTTAAATCTTCATTTAAAAAGAGATAGACGAACTGCAGTGCGATACCTATTGGTAAATGTTTTACAAGTCTGTTTTTCACAAGGAGATACAATAAACGTTTTAGTAATAACTGTTTTTCACAAGGAGATACAATAAACGTTTTAGTAATAACTGTTTTTAATAGGAGAAACAATAAACTTTGAAGTAATTTTTTTAAAAAGACAATGTTAGCTCATAGCTTTAGAAGAAAGTTTGGCAGTGCTTTCAATAATATTTAAAGTATGCTTTCTTGTGGTAAAATACCAGTCTTTGGAAATAAGTTTCAGCAGCTATACAAATCTAATTTTGCACTGAAATAAAAAGAAACTGTTGTTATAGTATCAGCAATATTATACATCAGTTTGATATTGGGGATGCAGGAAACTTTTTTTTGTCATTTTATCAGTTGTGTGTCCTTTTTTTTGTGTTGTTTTTTTAAAAAAAAATTTTTATTGGGATTCAGCAAACTTTAATTATAGTATTGTTGATACAAGAAACTTTGGCTATAGCTTTCAGCAATCTTACCTATCTGTTTTCTCATGTTGTTACGTGTTGCTGTAATGATAACAATATTTCACATGCTTTCAGGAAATTGTCCACTTGTCTGACCGACACTTCGACGTGACTGGTCTGGCAGTTGACTGGGTGAGTCAGAGCATTTATCTGACTGATGCAAATGGCAAGGCCATATATAGGTACAACTATGAAGGTCAGCGAGGCAAGGTCGTTGTCCGTGGAAACACCAGTCCACAGACAGTTGCTGTTGATCCTATCAATGGGTAGGTTTTCCTTGAGATTGTTAGAAAGTGTTTGCAAGTGTGTGAATTTGTTTGTGCATGAGTGTGTATGTCTGTGTAGGAGTGTGTATGTTTGCAGGAGTAGGAATTTGTTTATGCAGGAGTGTGTGAAGTGTGTGTGCAGGAGTGTGTGCATATGTGCATGAGTGTGTGTGTGTCTGTGTAGGAGTGTGTATGTTTGCAGGAGTAGGAATGTGTTTGTGCAGGAGTATGTGAAGTGTGTGTGCATGAGTGTGTGTGTATGTGCATGAGTGTGTGTATGTGCAGGAGTGTTGTGTATGTGCAGGAGTGTGTGTAGGAGTGTGTGAAAATGTTTGTGCAGGAGTATGTGAAAGTGTGTGTGCAGGAGTATGTGTAGTGTGTGTGTGTGTGTGTAGGTGTGTGTGAAAATATTTATGCAGGAGTATGTGAAAGTGTGTGTGCAGCAGTGTGTGAAAGTATGTGAGTGTAGGAGTGTGTGAAATCCTCACATCATCTACATATAAGTCCACACGTTATCTCCACACATCATCGTCACACATAATCTGCAAGTGCTCATTATTTCCCCAGCTACATCTTTTGGACTGACCGAGGCTCCATACCCAAGATTGAACGAGCCAACCTCGACGGCAGCGACAGAAAAACCATTGTTTTCTCAGAAGTATCCTGGCCAAGCAGCATCGCCCTTGATCTCTTTGGCGGCTGGGTCTACTGGACAGATGCTAAAAAACACACAGTAGAAGTTGCCAGATATGATGGGTCAGGCCGCCAGGTGATCCACACATCAGCATGTTGTAAGTATACCTACGATATAGCAAAGTCCTCGGTCGACACACCCTAAAATGGACACCATAAAGTGTCCTGGGAAGTAAAGGGAGCTAGTGTGGTCGACCATATGCTGAATAGCATGAGTCTGGCACCATATGCCTGATGTGTTACTGGCATGATAAGGGTCCTTGACCTCTTGACCTTTACACCATAACCTGTATTGTACTGTAATGAGTGATTGAGTGAAGTTTAACCTCACTAGGACTGCATACTGAGGGATTAACACCTGGTGACCCAGAGAGTCTTCATAACATGCTATGATGAGAATCCCCAAGGTACAAATCCCAGAACTCCGCTCAATCATAATGGTATATTGAGGCCCCTGTTGGTTATGAAGTGGCGTGTTATGAAGTAGCGTGTTATGAAGTGACATGTTATGAAGTGGCATGTTATGAAGTGACATGTTATGAAGTAGCATGTTATGAAGTGACATGTTTTGAAGTAGCATGTTATGAAGTAGCATGTTAGGAAGTGACATGTTATGAAGTAGGATGTTATGAAGTGGCGTGCTATGAAGTAGCATGTTATGAAGTAGCGTGTTATGAATCAGCGTGTTGTGAAGTGGCGTGTTATGAAGTAGCATGTTATGAAGTAGCATGTTATGAAGCAGCGTGTTATGAAGTAGCATGTTATGAAGTGACATGTTATGAAGTAGGATGTTATGAAGTGGCGTGTTATGAAGTAACATGTTATTAAGTAATATGTTATGAAGTAACATGTTATGAAGTAGCGTGTTATGAAGTGGCGTGTTATGAAGCAGCGTGTTATGAAGTGGTGTGTTATGAAGCAACGTGAAGTTTGAACAGGATAGCGTTGTATAGTCTGATACTGTAATGATGCATTTGTCATAAAGCTGAGGATCAGGCTGACATATGACTATGTATTTAAGAAAAAAAAAACTTTCTTGTAACAGAAATATACATTCTAAAAGTATGTGTACATTCTCAGTAGGTGTAGACAGAAATCAAACCAGCATAAAAACAGTATCATCTCAGTTAACTCTTTGAGTCCCAAGGAACACAAAATACGTTCATAGGTTCCTACCTAGAAGCCCAATGAACGCATGATGCGCCGATTTCATTACTTTCTTTACTACCCCCCTGGGCCTGTGATGCTAAACCCCCCCCCCCTGCCCCCCCGGGACTCAACGAGTTCAGATGGACAGTCCTGTGTTGTGCAATCAGAAGATAATTTAGTTAGTTAACTTTAGGCTTCCCTGGTAACCACATGGCCACTATTAGACAGCCATTGATGAGATGTGCATAGGATCAAGAACAAGAAAACAGTGACACGTATTTCAGTTGAAAGGATTTATGCTACTTCAGTATATGTAAACTGAAAGTAGCGCACCTGATGAATGAGGGGAAAAACACCAGCAATGAAGTGAGCAATCCAGTTTTTGTGTGTGATAAATTTCATTTCATTTCTGTAATGAAAAAAACTTTGTTTTTGCAGTAAACTTATCTTTTTTATTTTTCCCCGACAAACAAACTCTAGTAGACTGCAATATCTGCACCTTTCTGTCAAACACATCCAGTTTCAGTTATTTCTCTGGTAGACTGCAATATCTGCACCTTTCTGTCAAACACATCCAGATTCATTTATTTCTCTTGTCGACTGCAATATCTGCAACTTTCTGTCAAACACATCCAGTTTCAGTTATTTCTCTTGTCGACTGCAATATCTGCACCTGTCTGTCAAACACATCCAGTTTCAGTTATTTCTCTTGTAGCACAATCTTCTTTTACTTTTTTTCATGATGTTTTTTTTTAAAGCATTTATAAACGTTAGCTTTCTTTAAACGAATGTAAGCAGCTTAATTTTGACAACGGTAAATGTTTTTTATTTGTGTGCAATAAACCAGAGCTTTATTTCAACAAATTCTGATGATGTTTTGTACACAGTTCTGTCAGACTCCCCTTACTCCCTGGATGTGTTTGAAGACTACATCTACGTGCTGACCTACCAGTACAGCCGAGTGTTGAAACTGCACAAATTCAAGAACTGTACCAGAGACCAGGCTTCCGTCATGTTCAACACGGCAGCTCATGCTCGAGATATCACCATCATACAGGAAAACAAGCAAACAAAGGGTGAGTGTTACAGTGCCAGTTCTCCAATGTAGAGATGGTGCACAGTGCCAGTTCTCTAGTGTAGAGATGGTGCACACTGCCAGTTCTCTAGTGTAGAGATGGTGCACAGTGCCAGTTCTCTAGTGTAGAGATGGTGCACACTGCCAGTTCTCTAGTGTAGAGATGGTGCCCAGTGCCAGTTCTCTAGTGTAGAGATGGTGCCCAGTGCCAGTTCTCTAGTGTAGAGATGGTGCCCAGTGCCAGTTCTCTAGTGTAGAGATGGTGCCCAGTGCCAGTTCTCTAGTGTAGAGATGGTGCACAGTGCCAGTTCTCTAGTGTAGAGATGGTGCACAGTGCCAGTTCTCTAGTGTAGAGATGGTGCCCAGTGCCAGTTCTCTAGTGTAGAGATGGTGCCCAGTGCCAGTTCTCTAGTGTAGAGATGGTGCCCAGTGCAGTTCTCTAGTGTAGAGATGGTGCCCAGTGCCAGTTCTCTAGTGTAGAGATGGTGCCCAGTGCCAGTTCTCTAGTGTAGAGATGGTGCACAGTGCCAGTTCTCTAGTGTAGAGATGGTGCACAGTGCCAGTTCTCTAGTGTAGAGATGGTGCACAGTGCCAGTTCTCTAGTGTAGATGATAAGTTTGTCCAGCACAATCTCTTCGTGGTAAGGCAAGTCCTCCAAAGTCAGAACATATGATTTGAGGACCTCTGTTGCACATCATGTATTTGATATATTCCCAGATCCTCAGCTCTTAACCTATCTGCTATCATGTTCTCCTTTAACACTCTCCCCGTCCTCCTCTATGCATCATGGTCCATAGCATCCTATTCGTCAAATCCATCTCAGTTCTCACATCATTCATTTACTGCTTTCACACATTGTCTGTATTGTAGATATCAACAATTCTATATATTATCTGTGAAATTCACTCTTGAGTACATTGGTAGATATCAACTGTTTTTTATATTATCTGTAACATTCTCTCTTATCTACATCGTCGATACCAACAATTTTCAGTATTATCTGTAACACTCTCTTTTATCTATATTGTCGATACCAACAATTTTCTATATTATCTGTAACACTCTCTCTTATCTACAGTGAAATCCAACTGTTCAGCCAATGCTTGCAACCCAGAAGAGAACTGTTTCAACAAGCCACAAGATGAGCAAGGCTTTGTGTGTCTCTGTCCGGACGGGGCTGAGAAAAAGGGCAAGAAGTGTGAGTTTGAGAAACTCAGCTGCGACGGATACTGCACGAATGGAGGCACCTGCATTGTGTCCAAGCTTACAGAGAAACGTAAATGCAGGTAATTCTCTATGTTGATTTCTATTGTCATTAACTCTTCAGTCGTATGCAGTTAACCCTTATCTCACCAGCAGTTGTTACTTAACTCCTAGTATGTCACAATCACTGTCACTACACATTGTACATTCCCTGGTGTGTTCAGTCCTCCGATGCAGCAGCCACTCCCAGGCACCTCTACTGATTGTTCCCATGAGATGTTGGTTTTATTGTCTCCTATCATAACCTTGGAGGCAGGATAGACGTGCTTCACCATACTTGACTCCCATGTTATGCAGTCATCTTATTGTTAGAAATGCATCACCATCCACTAGAATAGTCTGTGCAGCACTGGTGACATCAGCTCTGTCTGTGCTTCATTCCACATGTGATTTTGAATTGCTAGCCATTTGGCCACTCATTCATTGCCCTTTACACCAGCATCACCAGGTGTGTAGATCCAGGTGAGGAAGATCAAGTGGTTTCCAGATGCTTTGTACCTATTCAGACTGTATACTACCTGTTGGTGATTTTGTGAAGCCTTTTCATGGAGCCTGATACAGTTAATGCATGTGTGACTGCTTGTTCTGCTGCCTATGCTAGATCTCTGGAAGCAGCTGTTATCTCCGTTGTCACGGAGTTGTTACTTCAACTTATTCTGTCACAAGGAGTTCACCTTAAAAGTTTAACCCTAGGTCTGAAGACATTTAGTAGTGATTCCCCAGCATTTTTTATTACAGCTGTTTGGTTGTACTAGGCAGTTTTATGTTCAGCAGTTTGCCATTGATTTTGAAATTGGCAGCTCTCAATACCATTGTTGAAATCAATACAAACAATTGGCCAGGTCTACTGTCTTACTGTCAAATAAGTATGCTGTCTTCCTTTCGGTGTCTGCTGTCTTCCTCTCAAACAAGTCTGCTGTCTTCCTTAAATCTTTGTCAGCATTTTCCTAGTCAATGTTTTTGTATTCAGTGAATTCATTTATTCATATGAACTCAGCCGTAGTCACTTCTGTTTCCAACTCAGGAGGAAGTGTGTTTGTCAGGTATGAGGGGGAAATTAGTTCTTAAGAGTTACAAAGAGATCATCCTGATGTGTGGAAGTGTTCAGTTCAGTATATATAAAGACAGGACAAAATATTCGATATTTAGTCATCTTCTGTTTGTGTCATATTAACGGACTTGAACACACAGGCATTTCAGATTGTTTTGTGTGAATTCACTAGACCATATGTAGATGAGACAGATTGTTTTGTGTGAATTCACTAGACCATATGTAGATGAGACAGATTGTTTTGTGTGAATTCACTAGACCATATGTAGATGAGACAGATTGTTTTGTGTGAATTCACTAGACCATATGTAGATGAGACAGATTGTTATGTGTCTTCTTCTTTTTCTTTGTGTTCAGTGGCTGTAAATTCCAGTGGAAAGTTCTAATTTTTCATCCACTTCTATTCTTTGGTTCTTTTTCCAAAACTTGAGTTTTACATGCACATCCATTTGACATACAACACTTATTTATATGCAGACTGTTGGTTCCTTGCCTCTCAGGCAGGTAATCTCTGACTTTGATTGAAACTCCGCTAATCAGTCACCTTTTACAGCGTCTTAGTATCCCCCCCCCCCCCACCACCACCAACCATAAGGAAGCCCTGGAACCCACACAGGAATGTTACATATAAATTCAGTTAGCCACACATTGACATGACAGACTGCTCTTGGCCACACATAGACATGACATATTGCTCTTGGCCACACATAGACTTGACATATTGCTCTTGGCCACACATAGACTTGACATATTGCTCTTGGCCACACATAGACTTGACAGATTGCTCTTGGCCACACATAGACTTGACATATTGCTCTTGGCCATACATAGACATGACAGACTGCTCTCGGCCACACATTGACATGACATATTGCTCTTGGCCATACATTGACATGACAGATTGCTCTTGGCCACACATAGACTTGACATATTGCTCTTGGCCACACATAGACATGACATATTGCTCTTGGCCACACATAGACATGACAGATTGCTCTTGGACACACATAGACATGACAGATTGCTCTTGGACACACATAGACTTGACAGATTGCTCTTGGACACACATTGACATGACATATTGCTCTTGGCCACTCATAGACATGACAGATTGCTCTTGGCCATACATTGACATGACAGATTGCTCTTGGCCACACATAGACTTGACATATTGCTCTTGGCCACACATAGACTTGACATATTGCTCTTGGCCACACATAGACATGACATTTTGCTCTTGGCCACACATAGACATGACAGATTGCTCTTGGCTACACATAGACATGACAGTTTGCTCTTGGCCACACATTGACATGACAGATTGCTCTTGGACACACATTGACATGACAGATTGCTCTTGGACACACATTGACATGACAAATTGCTCTTGGCCATACATTGACATGACAAATTGCTCTTGGACACACATTGACATGACAGATTGCTCTTGGACACACAATGACAAGACAGATTGATCTTGGACACACATTGACATGACAGATTGCTCTTGGCCACACATTGACATGACAAATTGCTCTTGGCCACACATTGACATGACAAATTGCTCTTGGACACACATAGACATGACAGATTGCTCTTGGCCACACATAGACTTGACAGATTGCTCTTGGCCACACATTGACATGACAAATTGCTCTTGGACACACATTGACATGACAGATTGCTCTTGGCCACACATAGACTTGACAGATTGCTCTTGGCCACACATAGACATGACAGTTTGCTCTTGGCCACACATTGACATGACAGATTGCTCTTGGACACACATTGACATGACAGATTGCTCTTGGACACACATTGACATGACAAATTGCTCTTGGCCATACATTGACATGACAAATTGCTCTTGGACACACATTGACATGACAGATTGCTCTTGGACACACAATGACAAGACAGATTGATCTTGGACACACATTGACATGACAGATTGCTCTTGGCCACACATTGACATGACAAATTGCTCTTGGCCACACATTGACATGACAAATTGCTCTTGGACACACATAGACATGACAGATTGCTCTTGGCCACACATAGACTTGACAGATTGCTCTTGGCCACACATTGACATGACAAATTGCTCTTGGACACACATTGACATGACAGATTGCTCTTGGCCACACATAGACTTGACAGATTGCTCTTGGCCACACATTGACATGACAGATTGCTCTTGGCCACACATAGACTTGACAGATTGCTCTTGGCCACACATAGACATGACAGTTTGCCCTTTTACCCCATCATATTATATTATATTGTAATTTGTGTGATATTATTTCAGCTGTATTAATGGCTTCTCCGGAGATCGCTGTGAGCAGCATGGTTGCACCAATTACTGCAAGAACGGAGGCAGCTGTCACATTGACGCAGAGGGGAAACCACACTGCTTGTATGTCACATTTGTTTCATGTATATCTGTGGACATGTTTTTGTATCTGTTGATATGTATGACAAGTGTTTTATGTCCACTGGTATATGTGACATGTGTCTTATGTCCACTGATGTATGTAACCTGTTTTATGTCCACTCATGTGTGGGAAATGTTTCTTATGTCCACTCATGTGTATAACATGTTTTATGTCCACTGATGTGTATGACATGTGTCTTATGTGTGCTGATGTGTGTGACATGTTTTATGTCCACTGATGTTTGTGACATGTGTCTTATGTCTGCTGATGTGTGTGACATGTTTTATGTCCACTGATGTTTGTGACATGTGTCTTATGTCTGCTGATGTATGTGACATTTGTTTGTGTCCACTTATGTATGTGACATGTGTCTTATGTGTGCTGATGTGTATGACATGTTTTATGTCCACTGATGTTTGTGACATGTGTCTTATGTCTGCTGATGTGTGTGAAATGTTTTATGTCCACCGATGTGTGTGACATGTTTTATGTCCACTGATGTTTGTAACATGTGTCTTATGTCTGCTGATGTGTGTGACATGTTTTATGTCCACTGATGTTTGTGACATGTGTCTTATGTCTGCTGATGTGTGTGACATGTTTTATGTCCACTTATACCTTTTTTTTTTTTATATAAATGGCCTGAGCTTCGAAGTCCGCCATGCCAAAAACTGGTACCAGAAAATATCCTGGGATGTAAAGGAGGCCTGACATGATGTTGGCCTCAGCAGCCATCAGTTGTTGACTGGTCTGTCACCATATGGCTGATTTACCCCTGGCATGGTAAAGGTCATTTAACATTATTTTACATATGAATGAGCGGCTATCCTCCGAATAACGGCCACATATTATGGCGGCCAGAAAAACACCCTGACATGGCCTCATTAGGTCGTGTGTTGTAAACATTCAAAAACTTCAACTTGAAAATAATAAGGAAAGAAAAAATTATGAAATTAAGTACTTACCGATAATTGAGGCCTTTATATCTGAAAATTGTGGCATAGAAGTTGCAAATAGTGCCCGAAAATCTGCTGTTTGTGCTGTGGCGCCATTGAAACTTGGCTAAATATGATCGGAACAAGGTGCGGCTAGTGCCGGATTGGTAATGCAGTTGTCAGCGGCGAGAGTATCTCCCGCGCTGTGTGTAGCAGCGCGGAGGGCAGCTAAACTAGATGGCTGGGACTCACGAGCAAATAAAATGAGGAAGCTGCACGATGCTGTAGCTGCTGCTCATGAGTCCCAGCCATCTAGTTTAGCCCGTCTCTGCGCCACACTTAGCTGCACGGGGAAAACTCTCGGTGGCGAGTTTTACTTAGCGGTTTGTTGCTTTTCGCGACATCATTGCCGGAAAATCATCTTACTTTTGTCCGCAATTTACATGTGATTGAGGCCCTGTCAGGGTGTTTTTTTTAGCTGCCATAATCTATGGCCATTATTCGGAAGATAGCCGAATGAGCTGCTGTGTAACCCTAGCCAGTACTGAATGTCTTCCGTTAACGTCACATTGTTGGGCAGCGCATTCCAAACCTGACATCCCAACGGTTTCGGACAGAGGAACACATTGGGGAGGATACTAATCCTTTCCTAGGAAGAGGAAAAGCAACCTGAAAACTTCATGTTGTGGTAGGGCAGATCAGGTCCTTAGTCTTGGCTGGCAACTGGTCTTGGATCGAAGCCTCAACAGGTGGAGAGACAGAGCACGGCTCTTCTGATCTGACAGCTTCTGCAGCATACATTGCTCCAGATGTACTGGTGTTACCTTTCCTTTGGAGTAAACAAGGCTGAGAGAGGGATCATGAGGCTATGTGCTGTGGAGAGGAAGAACTTTATCCCTGGCCCTAATAGATCTCAGAAACTAATGAGTAAGAAGGGGTCCTTCACTAATGTCAGTCATGCTGTGTTTTTTTTTCCTCAAGCTGCATCAACGGGTTCTCTGGGGATCTGTGTCAGAGCTATGCCTGTACCGACTACTGCAGGAATAGAGGCATCTGTCATGTTGACTCCCAGGGGAGACCACAGTGCCTGTGAGTCAGCTGTTTTCTTTGGTCTTTGTTTATCTGTTACAACATTTGTGTGGTCTCTCATTCTCTCTGTGTTCTCTCTCAGGTAAACTCAGTTCCAGCTTCATAGAAATGGGTAAATCCTAGTTCCTCCATTCATGTGCCAGTGAAAACTATACACAATTTCCATCACCATCCTTTGTGAAGAACTTGACAGACAACAGTCTCAGCAAAGTCACTAATATGCTGAATCTACATTGCATTAGGTTGTCTAAGAAGGAACAGTTGCTGCTGCTACATTCCTCTTACAAGGACCAGTTTTTGAAAATACAAATTAAAAACACCAGTAATTCAACAAAAACAATTCGTGGTAACCATTTGAAAAGATCATCTCTCATCTATCAATGTCCAAAAGTTGTATCCCCTCTTTATGAATACTCATTTAATGAGAAAACCCACGTGAAATCAGAATTGAGATACTGTTGCCTAAACTTTTACATCATGGATTACCCACCACAAGGGTTCAAAGTTCAGTACACACCACTGTTTCCTCCAGCGACGATTACCCTTGTGGCAAGATAAAACGTCCTCCATATTCAGTCTCCGTCATACAGATTCGACACTAGCCCGTTTGTCCAGGGGGCAAGCTCACAGTACAGACGAGTCAAACTTCTTTTCTGATCAACTATCACATGTCTCCAAATGACAGTCAACAAAGGTTGACAGGGATTCACAGGTTTTTCTCAATACAACACAAGCAACAAGAATCAACATTAAAACCCAACACTTTCGCCATTCCAACAGGGTCCCGTTGTTCTCACGCTAAGTCTACGGCCATGCTTCAGACGATGGACACTGGCATGTACATGACTGACACAATAAACAGGCCATAGAACATAACTGTTGTCCTCAGCTGTTATCCAACACAGCTTCACTCCTTGCTGTTCAGGACTAAAGTTCATTCAGGTTCCATCTAGAATCAAATTCATAACTATCGATTTGGATCCAGTTTCCCGTCTTTTAACTCCGTGGTCCAGTCACGGAATGACCAGTTGTTCTTACCCCTGATTGCCTCATATTGCCCAAGCAAACTCACCATATCTCGTCTTCTTCCTCCCCCACGCTAACCTCATGTCTTGCAATCTGGGAACTTCCTTTTTTTTAAGTAACCAATCAGACCCCTTATTCTATTCCTATACTTAGCACCATTACAACCATGTTGTGCAACTTTTGGTATCTGGCCACATTATAAACAAGGGCAACACAATTCAAATTATGTGTTTGTTAATGAGTACCACAATGGTCTACTGTGTTGAAGCGACCATCCAATCTTGTGCAGACAAAAAGATATGGTTATGAATCTGCATTTATGCTCACAAAATGGGCAGTTACTTTTGAGAGTGGTTAATTTCACTTAGAAGGATCCATTTATTCTTCCTTTGTCTTAAATTGTTACTGTAATATGTACCTGATGAGATAGCAGGCAATTATAGCAGGCAATTATAGCAGGCAATAAATCGTGCAGTCTTGTTTGTGCCTTCTTTGTTTCCATTGACTACTGGGAAACATTTCCTTATACCTCAACTGTTTTAGACATCATCTGTACTTGAACTGTTTTAAACATTGTCTGTATATAAACTGTTTCAGACATTGTCTGTATTTGAACTGTTTCATAGACTGTCTGTACTTGAACTATTTCAAACATCATCTATACTTGAACAGTTTCAGACATTGTCTGTACTTAAACTTTTTCATAGATTGTACTTGAACAGTTTCAGACATTGTCTGTACTTGAACTGTTTCATAGATTGTACTTGAACAGTTTCAGACATTGTCTGTACTTGAACTGTTTCATAGATTGTACTTGAACAGTTTCAGACATTGTCTGTACTTGGAACTGTTCCAGACATTGTCTGTACCTGAACTGTTTCATAGATTGTACTTGAACTGTTTCAGACATTGTCTGTACTTGAACTGTTTCAGACATTTTCTGTACTTGGACCTGTTCCAGACATTGTCTGTACTTGAACTGTTTCAGAAATTGTATGTACATGAAGTGTTTAAGATGTTTTCTGTGCTTGAACTGTTTCAGATGTCTGGCATTCCATGATGGGGACAGGTGTGACACTATCAGGTCGTTGGGCTCTTTGTGCCCACAGGTGTGCAAGAATGGAGCCGACTGTACTATTGAGGATTCTGGCTATGTTGTCTGCAAGTGCCAGGGTGGCTTCACTGGTATGTTTATTGTTCAGTTGGTCATTTGCCTTTTCCACGATGAATACTGGCTGTCGGGGATCTCCAACACTTTTTCATTCTGGTTGTACACTCTCTCAGACAGCTGTTTGTCCATTTCTTGATATTATCCTCCCATTTGTGTTGCTACCTACTTCTTGCCTGCAACCTTTCCCTCCAGTATGGTTTTTAAAAGATTGCTATATCTTCTAACTTTTTCTGTCCCAAGAAATACGCTATGTATGGTCATCTGTGTAACTGAATCTGTTACATTTTAGCTTAGCATGCTAATAAAATCTGGCTTGATAAATTAACCTGTTCTAACATCCAGTGCTCTCCTCCAGCCCAAAGATATTTGGATCGAGTCAGATTGTTTTAAAAATAATTAATTTAACGATCTTGATGCAAAACTCAAGTTCTGGAACAAGACCAAAATCCAGAAGTGGATGAACAGCCATAATCTTTTGCTGGAGTTTATAGCTGCAGAAGGCTAAGAAGAAGAAGATCCATCTAGCGCCGTTTGGTCAATAAAAATATGGGCCTAGCATCATATACCCCAATGCGCAGAGACAGACACACACAGACATACAGACAGACACACACAGACAGACATACAGATACACACAGACAGACTCTAACAGACATACTCAGCTAAACAGACACACGCCCCTATACACACAAGAGATGTTTTCCTAGGATGTCTGGTTTCTCACATAGGCTTTTTTCCCAGTCTGTTCTGACATGCTCCTTCAATTGTTGGATATAATGTTGCATCTATGTGACAGGTAAACGATGCGACCAGTGTGACGACCTTCACTGCAGCAACGGAGGAAGCTGCTACAAACAGAATGGCCACTCCCAGTGTGAGTGTCCCCCAGACCTGGACCCCAAGTCGCGGTGTCAGAGTCCACTCAACTGTACCTCATTGTGTTTGTCAGGAGTTCAGCTGGAGTCAGGTACTGGTGATATTGTCTTGACTGTCTGCTTGTACACTGTATTGACTTGATTTGTTAAACTGCATGTCAAAGAGGCATGATCACCTACCCCAAGGTACTTAATGATGATGATAACATAAAGGAAGTTGCAACAAGGGTTCAAAAAGGTTTTAATGCACTAAAGATTATGGCAGCGATGGACATGGAGCAGAGTATGCTGTTCACACTTTACCAGCACTTAATCATCTCAGTGATTGATTATGGATTAGGATTACTCACTGTCTCGAAGAGTCAGCAAGAGAAACTAGAGTGTATTCAGAATGAAGCTGTGTGGCTGATCCTGGGATGTACGAGACACCTCGATTGTGTGCATGTGATACATCCTTGCATTGCCGACTAGTGCAGGTAGGCTAAAGGTGCTACAGGCTAAGTCATACCTCAGAGTAGCTGCAGACAAAGAACACCCTCTTTTTGAAGCTTTGGCTGCAGGCGGAGTCAGAGGCTGAAAAGAGGAAATGGTGGATGGCTCAAGCAGAAGACACAATAAGACCAGTATGCATGCTGGAGAACATTGGGCTAGTAGAGGAGTGGGTCAGAGTACCAGAAGAAAAGTCTGACCTGTGTAAGGTTATGATCACATTGGGCTGGGAATGCAGAGAGTGGCCAGCGGAGGTTGAAGTCCAACAGTTGATTCACAACAATTCATGCCCAGGTGATCTGATTATTTATACAGATGGTTCGTTCGTGAGAGGAAAGAGAAGTGCCTTGGGGTTCGTAGCAAAGGCCAATGGAAAATCTTTAGTGCAAGACAACCTAGCATATGACACTACAACATCTAGCATGATGTGGAAGCGGTAAATGCTGCTCTCCAGTAGCTAGAGAACAAGATGCATACACATATCATAATTGTAACAGATTCTGAAAGCATGCTGAGAAAGGTAAAAACAGGGATGCTTCGAGCAGAGTGGCAAGCTACACTGGGAAGGTCACGGGTAGTGAGCACACTTTTGATCTTTTCTCCGGCAATGCCGGTGTGGTGGAGAATGAACAGGCAGACAGGTTGGCTCAGTCTGCACCACTGGGTGGTAAATTGATATATGACAAGCCAGATGTGGTCAAGGCCCTTTGGGAACAAGCAACAAAATCAGTAGAGAAACAAGATTATTATGGCCTGGAGAGAATGAGGCACCTGGGTGTAACCAGAGGGTCTGGCTGACTCACTACACTCAGAGGAAAGGCAAGATGGACATTTAACCAGATTGTGATCGGTACCATCAGTATTGAAATTCTGCTCTGGCTGCTGAAGATGAGGACGGAGCATGCATGGGAATGCCTCTAGTGCTGTGATGTCAGTTCTGGACTCAACTCAACTGATGATAATGATGATGAAGGCAGTTATTATTGCTTGTTTTAATATTTCAGACAAATAAACTCATTTATATTGCTTTCATAATTTCAAAAAACGCAGTTATTTCTGATCCTTGTTTGATGAGGTGTGAAATCACTTATATTAATTTCATGATGTCAGAGATATGAAATCACTGATATTCCTTTATGATGTCAGAGACATGAAATCACTGATATTGCTTTATGATGTCAGATACATGAAATCACTGATATTGCTTTATGATGAAAGATACATGAAATCACTGATATTGCCTAATGATGTCAGATACATGAAATCACTGATATTGCTTTATGATGTCAGAGACATGAAGTCACTGATATTGCTTTATGATGTCAGAGACATGAAATCACTGATATTAATTTCATGATTTTGGAGACATGAAATCATTGATATTAGTTTCATGATGTCAGATATATGAAATCACTGATATTGCTTTATGATGTCAGAGACATGAAATCATATATTATTTTATTGTATGAAACTTTCATGATTTCAGAAACATATCATTATCTAAACTAATTTCATAATTTCAGTGTTATGAAATCCCTTAAATTATTTTGAGTATTCCTGAAAAGTGCATTTACTTCAGCTGGTTTTGTGATTTCAAAGACATACAGCTATTTCAGCTAGTTTCATGATCACACAGACATTAAATCACTGATATTACTTTTGCAATTTCAGATATTAAATCACTGATATTTCTGTTATGATTTCACAGACATTAAATCACTGACATTACTTTCCCGATTTCACTGATATAACTTCCATAATTTCACAGACATCAAATCACTGCTATTATTTTCACAATTTCACAGACATTTCAATCACTGATATGATATTACTTTCATAATTTCAGACATTAAATCACTGATATTACTTTTATGATTTCACAGACATTTCAATCACTGACATTACTTCCATGATTTCACAGACATTTCAATCACTGATATTACTTCCATGATTTCACAGACATTAAATCACTGAAATTACTTCCATGATTTCACAAACATTAAATCACTGATATTACTTTTATGATTTCACAGCCATTTCAGTCACTGATATTACTTTCATGATTTCACAGACATTAAATCACTGATATAATATTACTTTTATAATTTCAGACATTAAATCACTGAAATTATTTTTATGATTTCACAGACATTTCAGTCACTGATATTACTTTCATAATTTCAGTCATTAAATCACTGAAATTACTGTTATGATTTCACAGACATTTCAGTCACTGATATATTACTTCCATGATTTCACAGACATTTCAGTCACTGATATATTACTTCCATGATTTCACAGACATTAAATCACTGAAATGATATTACTTTCATAATTTCAGACATTAAATCACTGAAATTACTTTTATGATTTCACAGACTTTGAATCACTGATATAACTTCCATGATTTCAGAGACATGCAACTGTAACTGCAAGCCCACCTACTTGACCAAGGATTGTGCCTGTGGACTAGATTGTGTTCATGGAAACTGTGTCCTGGGTGAGTTGACCCAGCTTGACTTCTGTACATTGAATCTGACTTTCCTTTTTGTGTTCATTGCAACAGTTGTCCTGGGTGAGTTGACCCAGCTTCACTTCTGTACATTGAATCTGACTTTCCTTTTTGTGTTCATTGCAACAGTTGTCCTGGGTGAGTTGACCCAGCTTCACTTCTGTACATTGAATCTGACTTTCCTTTTTGTGTTCATTGCAACAGTTGTCCTGGGTGAGTTGACCCAGCTTCACTTCTGTACATTGAATCTGACTTTCCTTTTTGTGTTCATTGCAACAGTTGTCTGAAAATGAATGTATGCTTCAATAATATTGTCCTGTTTATGTGTACCATGTTTTTGGTTGTTGTTGTTATGACAATTGTTTTTCCTAATTTTTTTATTTCATCTTCTTGTCTTTGCTAACTTTTGCTGTCTTTGTTCAACATTTCCCTGTCTTTGTTAACTGCATTTTGCTGTCTTTATTTTCTTCATTCTCCTGAAGTGAATGTTTGATATTTCTCTGACAATGAAACCGATGTCTCTTCAACAGAAAATGGCCAGCCACAATGTGAATGCCATGAGTTGTTTAGAGGACAAAGATGTGACGTCTGCAAATGTGAGCCAGCAGGCACCTGCGTGAAAAATATCACCGGGGAATTCTCCTGCAGGTCAGTGGTGTTTCTCCTTTCTCACAAGTCCACACATATCTGTGTACAAATCCACACATATCTGTGTACTATAGGTCTTATAAGTCGAAGACTATGCTTTCTCAGTGTAACATTGTACTGCCTCAGTTTAACGCTATACTCTTTTCCCTTTTTAACGCTATACTACCCCAATGTAACACTATACTGCTTCAGTGTAACATCATGCACTCAGAGTAACATTATACTGCCTCATTGTAACCCTATAATGCCTCAGTGTAACTCTATACTGGCTCAGTGTAACGCTGTACTGCCTTAGTGTAATGCTATACTGTCTCAGTGTAATGCTATACTGTCTCAGTGTAATGCTATACTGTCTCAGTGTAATGCTATACTGTCTCAGTGTAATGCTATACTGTCTCAGTGTAATGCTATACTGTCTCAGTGTAATGCTATACTGTCTCAGTGTAATGCTATACTGTCTCAGTGTAATGCTATACTGACCCAGTGTAACGCTATACTGTCTCAGTGTAATGCTATACTGTCTCAGTGTAATGCTATACTGCCTCAGTGTAATGCTATACTGCCTCGATGTAACATTATTCTGCCTGCCACTAAATGCATGGTCGTGAATTAATCTATTCCAATAACAAACCAGTGTTTTTGGTTGATGATAGTGTTTACATCCTGGCCGAATTTAGACCTAATGAAACTATAAGCTTCCTAACACGAATGTCATTAAAGTCAACTAATTATGGATGTTTCCTTCTAAGTCAGAGTAAATCTACCTGAGAGGTAAGGAGCAAACAGTCTGCATACAGAAACAGTCTGCATACAGATTAGCAAGATCTGTAAAACAGATGTGCATGCAAACCTCAAGTTCTGGAACAAGACCAGAAATTTCTTTAAAAGTTTACAGCCGGTAAACGCCAAGAAGAAGAAGACAAATAAATCTTATGCCATAGTTTAACATTCATGTCTAGATCTTAAAACAGGTCAGCATTTACATATAGATCTTATAACAGGTCAGCATTTACACATAGATCTTATAACAAGTCAGAATTTACACATAGATCTTATAACAGGTCAGAATTTACACATAGATCTTATAACAGGTCAGCATTTACATATAGATCTTTTAACAGGTCAGCATTTACATATAGATCTTATAACAGGTCAGCATTTACATATAGATCTTATAACAGGTCAGCATTTACATATAGATCTTATAACAGGTCAGCATTTACATATAGATCTTATAACAGGTCAGCATTTACATATAGATCTTATAACAGGTCAGCATTTACATATAGATCTTATAACAGGTCAGAATTTACATATAGATCTTATAACAGGTCAGCATTTACATATAGATCTTATAACAGGTCAGCATTTACATATAGATCTTATAACAGGTCAGCATTTACATATAGATCTTATAACAGGTCAGCATTTACATATAGATCTTATAACAGGTCAGCATTTACATATAGATCTTATAACAGGTCAGCATTTACATATAGATCTTATAACAGGTCAGCATTTACATATAGATCTTATAACAGGTCAGCATTTACATATAGATCTTATAACAGGTCAGCATTTACATATAGATCTTATAACAGGTCAGCATTTACATATAGATCTTATAACAGGTCAGCATTTACATATAGATCTTATAACAGGTCAGCATTTACATATAGATCTTATAACAGGTCAGCATTTACATATAGATCTTATAACAAGTCAGCATTTACACATAGATCTTATACGGGTCAGCATTTACATATAGATCTTATAACAGGTCAGCATTTACATATAGATCTTATAACAGGTCAGCATTTACATATAGATCTTATAACAGGTCAGCATTTACATATAGATCTTATAACAGGTCAGCATTTACATATAGATCTTATAACAAGTCATCATTTACATATAGATCTTATAACAGGTCAGCATTTACATATAGATCTTATAACAAGTCAGCATTTACATATAGATCTTATAACAAGTCAGCATTTACATATAGATCTTATAACAAGTCAACATTTACATATAGATCTTATAACAAGTCAACATTTACATATAGATCTTATAACAAGTCAGCATTTACATATAGATCTTATAACAAGTCAGCATTTACAAATAGATCTTATAACAAGTCAACATTTACATATAGATCTTATAACAAGTCAGCATTTACATATAGATCTTATAACAAGTCAGCATTTACATATAGATCTTATAACAAGTCAGCATTTACATATAGATCTTATAACAGGTCAACATTTACATATAGATCTTATAACAAGTCAACATTTACATATAGATCTTATAACAAGTCAGCATTTACATATACATCTTATAACAAGTCAACATTTACATATAGATCTTATAACAAGTCAGCATTTACATATAGATCTTATAACAAGTCAACATTTACATATAGATCTTATAACAGGTCAGCATTTACATATAGATCTTATAACAAGTCAGCATTTACATATAGATCTTATAACAAGTCAGCATTTACATATAGATCTTATAACAAGTCAGCATTTACATATAGATCTTATAACAAGTCAGCATTTACATATAGATCTTATAACAGGTCAACATTTACATATAGATTTTATAACAAGTCAACATTTACATATAGATCTTATAACAAGTCAACATTTACATATAGATCTTATAACAAGTCAGCATTTACATATAGATCTTATAACAAGTCAGCATTTACATATAGATCTTATAACAGGTCAACATTTACATATAGATCTTATAACAAGTCAACATTTACATATAGATCTTATAACAAGTCAGCATTTACATATAGATCTTATAACAGGTCAGCATTTACATATAGATCTTATAACAAGTCAGCATTTACATATAGATCTTATAACAGGTCAGCATTTACATATAGATTTTATAACAAGTCAACATTTACATATAGATCTTATAACAAGTCAACATTTACATATAGATCTTATAACAAGTCAGCATTTACATATAGATCTTATAACAAGTCAGCATTTACATATAGATCTTATAACAGGTCAACATTTACATATAGATCTTATAACAAGTCAACATTTACATATAGATCTTATAACAAGTCAGCATTTACATATAGATCTTATAACAGGTCAACATTTACATATAGATCTTATAACAAGTCAACATTTACATATAGATCTTATAACAAGTCAACATTTACATATAGATCTTATAACAAGTCAGCATTTACATATAGATCTTATAACAAGTCAGCATTTACATATAGATCTTATAACAGGTCAACGTTTACATATAGATCTTATAACAAGTCAACATTTACATATAGATCTTATAACAAGTCAGCATTTACATATAGATCTTATAACAAGTCAACATTTACATATAGATCTTATAACAGGTCAGCATTTACATATAGATCTTATAACAAGTCAGCATTTACATATAGATCTTATAACAAGTCAGCATTTACATATAGATCTTATAACAGGTCAGCATTTACATATAGATCTTATATAACAGGTCAGCATTTACATATAGATCTTATAACAAGTCAGCATTTACTTATAGATCTTATAACAGGTCAGCATTTACATATAGATCTTATAACAGGTCAGCATTTACATATAGATCTTATAACAGGTCAGCATTTACATATAGATCTTATAACAGGTCAGCATTTACATATAGATCTTACAACAGGTCAGCATTTACATATAGATCTTACAACAGGTCAGCATTTACATATAGATCTTATAACATAGTTTAGCATGGATATCATTGTCTTAAATGTAGTTGCGTATCTTTTACAGGACATTGCAGAACCAAACCCTGAAATTTTTCTGTAGCTGTGGCTTTTCTATGCAAATTTTACATTCAGTAGTTTGCTGCATAAACAGTCAGCTTTCGATACCACTGTTGAAACTAATGCAAGATGGTCTGCTGGCAGATTGATTGCAGCTGAGATCAAACCCAGCACCCTTGCATCATGAAGCATGTTTGCCTCACCTAAGCCACAGACATCAACTTTTTTTTTAAAATCCTCATGTACCATGCTGATAGCTATCTCCCTATGACAATACATGAAACCATGTAAAACTTTGCTTATGTATACAGTTGCTGTATGCTCAACAATAGCATGTGCAAATCTGAATCTATATATGAAAGTATATGGTTTCTAGTGTGTAAAGTTTTAGCATGTAGAAGCACAATTGTATATATAGTTGTGCTGTCTAAAAAAAACATGATTGTATATATAGTTGTGCTGTCTAAAAAAACATGATTGTATATATAGTTGTGCTGTCTAAAAAAAACATGATTGTATATATAGTTGTGCTGTCTAAAAAAACATGATTGTATATATAGTTGTGCTGTCTAAAAAAACATGATTGTATATATAGTTGAAAAAAAACATGATTGTATATATAGTTGTGCTGTCTAAAAAAACATGATTGTATATATAGTTGTGCTGTCTAAAAAAACATGATTGTATAAACAGTTGATATTTGTACAGCTGTGGCATGTAGAAGCACGATTGTATATATAGTTGTGCTGTCTAAAAAAACATGATTGTATAAACAGTTGATATTTGTACAGCTGTGGCATGTAGAAGCATGATTGTAAATACAGCTGTTGGCTGTATAGTTGTGGTTTGTAAAAAAAAAAAATCATGAATGTACCTTTATGTAGACTCGATATGTGGAATGTGAAATCAGAATTGCATGAACTGTCTTGTGTGTGTATGTGTGCGTGTGTGCGCGCAGACATGTCAGGTAAAAACATGACTGTAAATACAGTTGATGTGTGAAGTCATGTGAAGTCATACAGTTGATTTATTAAAATCATGATTGTGTATACAGTTACTAAAGCTGTGGCATGTAAAGACATGATTGTATATACATTTGATACGTTTACAGCTGTGGCATGTGAAAACATGACTAGTATGTATAGTTGATGTGTGCACGGCTGTGACATGCAAAAAACATGATTGTAAATACAATTGACATGTAAAGACAGTATTGCATGTACAGTTGTCTGCCAGCTGTGGCATGTGAAAACATTATTGTACTTCTAGTTGTTGTTTGTACAGCTGTGGCATGGATATGTTTGGCAAGCTATGTGAGTACACGTGTCAAGGTATTTGTGGTGAACACGCATACTGTACACAGTGTCAGCTGAATGCAACCAGCCACAAAGCCGAGTGTTTGCCTGAACATTGTGTGTAAGTGGTTGTCTCTCACATTATTTTCTCTTTGTTGTCCCTGCATGCTGGTTGCTTATTGGTCGCTGTAAGCT